CTCCTACGAGTTACTGCGTACCCACGACGCGCATGATGACAATTACACCAATCGCCCATCATCACGGTCATCGTCATAGACACGGTCATGTCAATCGCCCTTGTCGCTAGCAGCGCCATAGCCCACTGATGAACTGCACTGCTGTAAGCTATATCCAAGTCATCAGTATCCCTCATCACCATTGTTCGTGTTCTCCTTCCCCTGCATCACCAACATCACTGCCGCGATCATCATCTGCATCGTCAGCACCCTTGTTCAGGTGTTTTGCAGTATACTTTCATTCTCGGTGCAGGACGCTAAATGCTGTACCCTGGACCCTAAACCCTATTTGCATCTCATGCGGCCACGCACGGATGTGCGCTGCTCGGGGAGCTGACGATGGTGCTCGGTGCTCGCACGATCTATGAATACTTTTTTATTTTGTTGGGGGGGATGGTTATGGCTCATAGGGTTTATAGGGTTTATAGTGTTTTTTTTTAAGGTGTATTGGCTCTTTCTCCACTTCGCAAAGCAGGTCGGGAGCCCGCCTCAGCTGGCCTACACCGGTTAGACACTCACTTCTTGACGAACTCACCGAAAGTACGAAGCGACATCACGGAGTGTCTCGACTGCGACTTCGTTCAACACGCAAGGCCCTGTTCGCACGATCTGCACGATCTGCACGTCGATCCTCGGAAGCGCGACGTCGAACAAAGGGACGACGTAGAGGAACAACAGGATCAGGGACCCGACGACGGCGATGAGGATGCGGAGGAGGTTGTGGAAGTTGTGAACGATCACGATGACGTCGAGGGCCAGAGAAGCGAGGTGGTGGGCGACGAGTGCGTAGGCGACGTCTTCCCGGTGAAGCCTGCATACCACCAAAGTCTCCAATCCGAAGAGGGTGAGCACTACCATTCGGCCAATTCGGAATCCGAACATCCTCATTCTGCTGGACGAGGAACAGTGGCTCATCTGCTTCAGCCGGCCAGGGACCTCTGGGAGCGTCTCGATCTTCATCACGAAAAAGTCCCCGAGCATGAGCACGCCAGGCACGACGACGAAGACCCGCGAGAACATGGTCAGGTACTCCAGGTAGTTGGGCTCGGACGAACTCCAGGGACTCAGGGAAGCCAGGAGACAGGAGGATTGATGGTGCCGAGACCTCATGGGAGGTATTGGAGGACGATGGTCCAGAGCCAAACTGAGCCTCTCGGACGAGCACCGGCCACACTGCAGTGAGGAACTGCTCGACATTTAGTGGCTCAGCAGTCAATGGAACATGCAGCCAATTGATAGCCTCCTCAATGGCATCCTGAATCAACCTGCTTTGGTGGCGGAGTCGTCGTTGTTGTACGAGGAGTCTCCGAACAAACTCAACCACATCCACTTGCGAGCCGTGGATCAATTGGTTATTGACCACATCTCGCACCACGTCATCAGGCCACAAGAGATGAGCAGAAGACGACGAGGTCGTTGTAGTTGAAGTAGTCGAGGTACCCAAGGGAGAGGATGTAGCCGAAGAAAAGGATGTAGCCAAAGTCCATGATGTAGCCGAAGTAGAGGATGTAGCCAAAGGCCATGTCGTAGGGGTCGTAGATGTCAAAGAAGAACTCCCAACATCATTGGACTCGTTCATCAACACGAAAAGTGCAGGAGGAGACGTCGAGGACGGGGCCATTGTCACGTAGGTCGAGGTCAGAGTACTCATCCACATAATATTCGTCCCGATATTGAACTCAGTGGTAGTAGACGACGTAGACGAAGCAGCCGAAGGGTCCGTAGTAACTTCAGCCTCATCAACAGGCTCTCGCCAGATACCTTGGAGCTCTTCATTGTCGAATAGGACAGGCTGTGGTGGTGGAGGACCGAAGGGGCCACCAGAAGGACTGCGAGGAGAAATAGACACCGCATTGCCCCGAGAGTCAACAGCTCGTTCACTGTCCATGTGGGGGCCCATAGGGATGTACCAGATGGACTGCGTGAGCGTGTTGTCCTGGCACGCCTTCTCGTGGCTCTGCGCCGTGTGCCACTGGCAAAAGCTCGTCTATTCTCGCCTGCAAGCGCATCAAGTTGCCATAGACTTCATTGACTTTGTCCCGACGATTCGGGTCGTTAGCCAATGGAGAGTCAGCTTGCTTCAACTTGTTGTAAATTGCAGCTGAGAGACGCGTGGGGTTGCGAGATCCTCCCACTTTCACAAACTTAGAAGCCTTGCGTTGCTTCTTGCGTGAGAGAGATGCTTTCTGCTGCTTACCACGAACCATCCGCTGTTCTCTTTTGAACATCTTGCGGCGGTTGGATCTCTCGTTAAGCGTGATCTCGTACGCTTCGACAGTGCCATTTTCTCGAACGCAGATGTCGACTGCGCCAGAGAACGGGCAATTGACCTCCCCTCCGCCCACAAGCAATCTCTGCAGCATAGGAGCTGCAATGGCTATGTTGTAGGGCACTTTACCGGGAGTCGCAGCAATGTGCAGTCCTACGATGTTCGCAAGACTGCCATCTCCAAGCCCGTTGAAGAGCGGGGACCCGCTCCATCCTGGCACCGTATTGATGGTGTGGAAATAGGAGCCTGTTGCAGCTGTGTGTGCTGTAAGGTGAACCATTTTGCCTGTGTTCTTGACCAAAGGCCTCCACGGTCCTGAAACGTTCGGGTCTGGCCCAATCGAAAACACTTCCTCAACGATGCCCGTGTCAATGCGACCGCCATATTGGCGGACACCCGCACGTGCGAATGTCACAGGTGGTAGTGTTACTAGGGCTTGATCAAGCCCGGAACGGCTCCTAGAACCATCACAATGCAGGATTTGAACGCTGCTTCGTTCCGCCTCGAAGTTTAGTCTGGTACTCGTAGGACTCCCATGATCCAATAGGTAGCAGAGGTATTCTCCGACCTAGACCCTTCAAGGACGTGGAAGGCTGTCAGGAACTGAGTCTTATTAACTCTAGCTCCGATAGCCACGGGCGAGTCGCCTTGTCCGATCACCAAGAGAAACTGGTACGGAGACACATCGAAAAACTCCTTGACAACTCTCGGGATGTCAAAAGTAATTTGTTTCTCATTGGTTGGGACGGCAGGAACAATCTCAATGATGTCCCATTTGATGGAGCCGTTCTCCAAACTGACCGGTTTGCAATAGTACGGAGCCATGTCCTTATGTAGGTACATGACCCAACGCCCGGACGCAACGTCTGGCACTGGCACCCCAACCTCGGGCGCTGCGCGCTTTCTTGCGACAGGTGCATTTGTCTTGGGCTCACGCCATCGGATATAGGTCGCTGCACAAGAATCCAGGAAGAAAACTGTGGCGACTCCCTTCACGACGTAAGCGGGAATGCACGGCGGCTTGTGAGCTCGCTCGAGCCTCCAAGTCTCGACGCGTTCCGAAACATGGTTCAGCACGCGGTGACAGCCCATCTTCATCAAACGAATGGCATGGGCAGCTCCAAAAGCGCCACCAATTTCAGTGGCGAGGCCGGCAGGGCTGTGTGCAATAGCGAATAAAGATTCCGCAGTGTGCACGGCGCCAGCTGCGAGCGTGGTGATCAGTACCATGGTGGCACTGAGAGCGATAGCTGTAAAGTGTTGTTGCAAGAAAGTCTCAAAACTGTGTGAGTTTTAATCTCAAGAGTTACCAAGAGATCAGGGCCTCACGACCTGAACAAGAGGATGGCTACTTGTTAAAGGCAGCCGGCCTCCATGAATAACAAATAGTGTTTAGGGTTTAGGGTCTAGGCTTGCCACATCAATGGGTTCTACCATCATAGGGATCTATGATAGCGGCTCCTTTAAGGGATCTATAAGGGTTCCTTTACGGTTTTTTTTATGATTTAAGGTTTATGTCACCATAATAGGGATCTATAGTAAATAACATGGTTTCCTTACTAGTGCAATTTAATATATATCAAAATATCCAGATGAATGTACTCTCTTGAAGAATCGTCCTGAAGAGTGCGCGGGCTCGAAAAGCCTCATGGTTGTTGTTTTTGGGGCGTTTTGTGCTTGCCGAGTCTTGTGCTCTAAGGGTTTGAGCGTCATGTATGCTGGATACCTGGACAAAACGTGTTGGAGAAGGATCATCCTCCCGACCGATGTCATTGAGCTTGGTCAACTTCGACTCATAAACCATGAGGTCTCCGACACCCCTACCTGCCTGTCTCCTGTCCCAATACTTCGTCGCTGTGAAGACATCCGAAAACCGCGCCACCTCGTGCTGACCCAGGAACATAATAGCCTTGGCCTAAACCTACAGCCTAAGCACACCTACAGCTTACACAGCCTATGGAGGAAGATCCCGTCGAAACCTTTCCCGAGCTTCACTCGAGCAGCGCCCAAGTCCACCCAGAAGCCTGACCGGGAGGACAGAACGCTTTGGGTTTAAGTGTTCAAGGCTTTAGGGTTTTTGGAGTTTCGGGCTTAGGGTTTAGGGTCGGGCTTAGGGTTTAGGGTCGGGCTTAGGGTTTAGGGTCGGGCTTAGGGTTGCAGGCTGTTGGGTTTAGGATTGGGATTTTGGGGGGCTGCTGGCAGAATGGGAGCTTATCCACATCAGGTTCTGTTTGCTTCTGGGGGGGGGGGGGGGCAAACTAGCATGTGGGCACTAGCAAGAACCTTAATTTACAGAGCTACCCGTGAAGTAGCCTAAAAGGTCAGGGCTTCTGACTGAAAGCCTATGTTCAAGGATCGGAGATTGACTTGTAACTGGCTCAAGATATTCCTTATACCGTGTGGCTCCATGGCCTCAGCTTCATCCCACCTTTAACCCTAAAAACCCTCACACTGCAACCCCGGAACAAGGACCCTTGTAAAGCAACCACCTCGAATCACGACGCCTACAATGGGCCGCCTGCCTCGGAGCAACAAGGGCGGAGGCCAAAGGTTTTGGATACGGGCGTATACTGCTTACAATATGGTTTAGCGGCAATGGCAACGTGAGCCGTTTAGCCCTCACAACCCTAAACCGAAACCCTAAACCCTAAACCGAAACCCTAAACCCCAAACCCTAAAACGGTATCTGAGCCTAGTAGAAGACGAGGCCCAACTCATCCACCAAGCTGTGGGAGCTCGGCTTGGAGCCTTCGGATCAACAGCCGGAGGTTGAGAGGCAAACCTTTAAAGCTGATGTAGGGGCCTTAATAACTAAACTAGACTAGGGCTTTGGGGCGCATTAAACTATAACTATCATAAGATAACAAGACTAGGGCTTTGGGGCCCATTATGCTATAACTATAATAAGGAAGCGCCAAAATAGTACAGGTATTCTTAAGTCCTCTACATTATGTTTCATATGCCATAGTATATCCCATCTTATCTCACCTTCGTTTTTGGGCTGATCCGAGAGGTAAACGTGTGACCACATTTCACCACCAAAATCCCAGAGGTGGTGAAGAGACTATATAGTGGTCAGGGCTGTATACCCGGTTGATGCAGCTGGGATGACTGGTCCGAAATCGCTGCGACAGCAAAGCCACCGATCGCAGGTTCGGAAGCCAGGCCCGAGGCAATGAACAATCCCCGAATGCCGATATATGGGAGTTTCCGAAAATAGGGGACCCTAGTATAGTACCCTAAATAGTAGGATCCTTATTATAGGGACCCCAAAATAAGGTACCCCTGTTTTTGGAAACCGCGAAAATCGTGGCACTGACCCCGTATCACACCTTGTGAAGTACCGGACAGAAGACTCTTTCTCTGTCACTTAAACCATGTTGGCCCCGCCATGTTCTCTCCCTGCACTCCAGTATTCAAAACAACATATTCAATATGTCGTAGATGCGCTGTTAGACGTTCGCAGTGAGTGGTGTTTATTGGTATACTGGTATACACACAAACACATGGGTTGCGCATGTTGTAGGCACACCGACGTAATAACCATGTTGCATCGTAGCCTACTTTTAAGATCCTCAGAATGTCCGAGTAGTGCGGATTGCTTCCTAGGGGCTTGCTGTCGTGGTGATGCGCGACATAGCGACGTCCAGATCCATGAGGTTCTTCATGTACCTCTGCTCTGGGTCGGTAACCCTAAACGGCCCTAAACCCTGAACCCTGACCTCTAAACCCTGAACCCGGTACCCTAAATCCTCAACCCGGTACCCTAAATCCTCAACCCGGTACCCGAAACCCTGAACCCGGTACCCTAAACCCTGAACCCGGCTCCCCTAATCCCTTGGGATTAAGGGGGCCTTTCGGAAGCTCAAGGCGCTCTCCGATGCTCTCTGGAATAGAGGGAACTCCAGAAAGTTGGAATATGGAATAGGGAATTTGGGGGGTCCTTATAACAAGGATCCTACTATTTAGGGTACTATACTAGGGTTACTTAGAGGGAACTCCAGAAAGCTGGAAATATGGTTTCAGGGTAGGATCCCCCCATATTTTACCATTCCAACTTTCGGGCTTCTACTGTAGAGGCTCCAGTTAGATACTTCTTGGTCCATCCTCCCACCTCTGACGAATGTAGGAGCCTGAACCCTGGGCCTATGGGTCCCTTTAAAGGGGCCTATAAGGGTTACCATAATCTATAAGGAATCTATAAGGGTACTATAGGAATGTAGGAGCCTGATTAAGAAAACCCTGGCCCGATAATCCCAAAACAGTAGGATTCATCTAAGGAACCCGAATGAAGGCCCAAGGTTTCTTAATCAGGTTCCTACATTACCTGGACTTTGAAGTAACCAGGCTATTTCATAATGGTTCTTTAAAAGGTAGAAGTTTCATAATGGTTCCTCAAAGGAACAGGTACCAAAACAAGTACTCAAGTATGGTACTCCGGAATCCAGTTATAATCCTGAAGGCATCGAGACCCGCCGAGCTTACAACCAACAGCGCAACGTGGATGTCCGTCCTGAACTCTTAGCACAATTTACGTTTTTTTAATTTAAGGGCGTCTTGCTATTCCCGCAGAAGGTCTAGATAATTAAAGGGTTTATAGGCTTGAATCAGCTGGAAGTTGAAGATGATCGAACGTGAGGGGAAGAAGAAGCGAGATCGGCAGTAGTGCAAGATTCCTCAGACCCACTAGCTGTATCCTGTGCCCACACACTGAAACCTGCGCCCTACATTCCTGACAAACCCAAAACCATGAACCCCAGGTTTAGAGTTTTTTTAAAGGTTTAGAGTTTAGGGTTCCAAGCCAGCAGCCCTAGATCCGCAATCTTAGAGCCTCCGCTCTAAACCTAACATAGGGGCCTCAAAAATTACCAATACGGAACCCTTACAAGGGTCTATAAAGGCTACTAAAAGGGCTTTGTTAAGGATTAAATATAGGGGCCTCAATAATTACCAATACTATTTTGGGGGCTCCTTCTTATGATAATAAGAAGGGTGGGCCCCAAAAACCTGTTCTAACTGTTAAGGCCCCCTATAGTAATCCCATGATGTTTGCCCAGGTTGCTCATGGACCGAAATGCCTTAATGACTGTACACACAAAAGAGGATAGCGCCGGCGCGTTGCTCATGGACCACGCTGCCGACCCAGTTCAACATGAACTCCTTCACACGGATGTCGACCATCTCCTCGTGGAGCTGAGATGCTCGAGCTTTTAGGGTCTTATGGCTTAGGGTAGTAGGGCTTGGGGTATTAAGTTTTAGGTTATTGGGGTTTAGGGTATTGCTAGCTTTTTGGGGTCTCAGGGCTTAGGGCATTAGGGTTTAAGCTGCTCATGTTTAGGGTTCTAGGGTTTAGGGTATTCAGGTTGGGCTATAGGGTTTGGGGCATTAAAGTACTAGAGCTCAGAGTTCAGGGTTTGAGGGATACTGCCCCCCACCCACCCACCAAGGTTCCAAGGAGCCGTACTACTTAAAGGATCATGGGACTTAGTAACTAGGGTTATAATTAGGGTAACTATACTTATAATCTTAATTACGGTACTTATAACCTACTTGCTAAGTCCCATGATCCTCCCAAGTAGACCCTAATCCCTAAACCCTATAGATACCTTTATAAGGAACCCTATAGATCCCTAAGTCCCATGATCCTCCAAGTAGAGCTACTGAGGGAGAGGATCCCGGGTACCGGGTCTGCCCCATGTAATCGCAATCGCATGCGGCCAGCTCTTTGAATTAGGGTCCCTTTTAGGGTCCAGTTGAGAAGGGTGCCGTACTATCTTGAGAACCTAAAGCGGGACTCTGAGTTATATAAATGTGGATAACTACGCATGTGAAGCCCCTCCTGTCGTTGAGTACTTGCTTCCATTTGCCTTCTTGCGGTTGGGGTGACTTGTCTACAGCTTCGTTTCTAGAGATGCCGTAGCCAGATTTCTTTGTAGCGTCGTGAGTCCGCTGCTTCCCAAACTTTCAACCTTACATGAACCTGAGTCCTGAAGCCTGACACCACGGGAATCCTCTGCAGTCGTAATGCTGTATCGTTGCTATTTCTGTGCTTCTATCTTTGTCTCTGCCGCGCACCGTCCCTGAAGTTGAAGCCCCAAGCCCTAACACCTGAACCCCAAAACCGCACAGCACTGAAACCCTGAACGACCCCCTGAAACCACTAAAAACATGCGTTTCGAAACCTTATGGAAGCCCTGCTCAACCCTATCCACGAACCCGGACTAACCCCCCTGAGAAAGCCCCGTCAGGGGAGAACGTCACCCAGCCAAGTAACGAAGCCCAGATCTTTCACAATCTGCTCCTTCACTTTCGCCTGCTTTCTTTAGGATTTCCTACTTGCCCAGACTCCTAGGAGAACTAAAGCTTAACCTCTGGTGTATAGTTTTGTGATTTGAGCACCTGACAAAGGTTCAAGGTTCGGCATTTAGGGGCGTGGGGTTTGAGTGTAGCGTTCAGGGTTTTGGATTGCAGGTGTAGAGGGTTTAGGGTTTGTGTAAGCTCTAGCTTATTGCATTGTGGGTTACATAGTAGTATAGCTTCATGAAGGAGCAAGGAATAGTCTTAGCTATAGATCCCTACTATGGTAACTTAAACTGCAATCTTAAGCAACAGCCCAGCATAGGTAGGCCGCCCGACAGCCCAAAAAAGCTCCTGTCAAAGCGACAGCATGGAAACTCTACAGTAGCGTGGTCTCGATACTCGGAATAGGGCTTTCGGACACATTACAGTAGATCTACGTCAAGAAACCCGAAAATGCTCGGAATAGGGCTTTCGGACACATTACAGTAGATCTATGCCAAGGAACCCGAATACAGCATTGTTCTGGCTTTGAGACACAACGAAACCAGAGTTCAAGCCTCCTCCCGGGTCCAGTTCCAGTGTCCCTCTAAAATGAGCCTACATCCTAAACCCTACAAACCCCATAAACCCTACAAGCCCTAAGCCCTATAAACCCAATAAGTCAACTCTACAACCTATAAAACCCTATAAGCCCTAAGCCTTAAACCGCAGAAGCCCTGAACCCTAAACCCCTGAACCCTAAACCCGAAAACCCCAAAACCCTAAACCCAAATCCCCTAAACCCAAAACCTTAATCCCCTAAATCCTAAAACCCTAAACTCTGAACCCCTAGACCCCTAAACGCCGCACGGCTGCCTCGTCAGCAGGGCTGAAGGCTCTGGCATTCCTCATGCAAACGGCTTCGGGGTTGTTAGGGGTTTCCTTTAAGGGATCCTCTAAGGGATCTGATAGGGCCTCTTTTAAGGGATCCTGTAAGGAATTCTGATAGGGCTTGGTTTTGTGGGCCTTTAGGGCCTTTTTGGGGGTTTCAAGGTTTTTAGGGCCTCTTTGGCATGTTTTAGGGCCTTTTTGGCTTATGGTTTAGGTGTTTAGGGCGGTCTAAGGTGAAGGGGCTTTAAAGGTTCAGGGTCAACTGAATAAACTTGGGGCTTCCAAGCTAAGAAGCATTCAACCCGACACCGACGACACTCGCAAATCCGAGCCTTGTAGGTGTTACAGGGTCCTTAAGAATTCGTATATACGGCTTTGGGCTATACGGCTATACTGTAGCAAAATTTGGATACATGCCCCTAAGGACTTGTATTGGCACAGGCTGCTGTCTTGCGCGATTTCGGATTGAGTGAGGTCTCGAAGATTATTGGGCAGGTTAGATCTTGAGCAATCTCCTGGTCAGGTTCCTGCCATGCAACTAGGTAAGCGAAAAGGGAACTACAATGAAGACAGTAATGACAACTTTAGGCAGGTCTGGCCTTCAGAGTTCGACGCTTTAGGAGTGTTGGTTTGGGACGCTCGGGATTTGGGCGGGGTTAAAGCGCGAATTATTACTGCTAGAAGTATTGCTATTGATCTGCTTGGTACTACTGCTGTTACATGTGGCTATTCTTTTCCGGATTTCTGGCTTAAGGGCACACACATCCTCAACGTCCTCTCTGAACAACACCTTATCCTGAAACCTTAAGCCACTGATGCCCTAGAAGCCCTTCATGAGACGGAACATCTAACCAACGCCGACTCTTCTCACAGAAAAGAACCCTCACACATCGCATGAACTCTTTTTGAGACAGCAAAATCAAAAAGTCCCCAATCAGAACCCTAAGCCCCAAACTCTTAGACTCTAAACCCCTAGACCCTAAACCCTAAAACCCTGACCCTAAACCCTAACCCCTAGACCCCTAAACAAAAGGCCCTTCTGACGGAGCCCAGGAGCTCTGACTTGAACCTGCAGAGAGATCGGGTCACCTCCAAGAAGGGTGGGTGAACTTTTGCGCGCTATTTTGCACTAGATCCCTAAACCCTCAACCCTAAACTAAATCTAAACCAAACCCTAACCCTAAACCCTCAAAAGAGATTGATTGTAAGAAGGGCCAGGCGAGCCCTCCCACAACCGTGGCGTGTCCCCGCACGGCCACACCCGTTGCGATGAAAAGCGGAAATTGGATGCGCACCCCTGGTACATAAACCCAAATCCCCGTTTAAAGACGGGCGATGTTGGGGCCCTTCAAGACACGGGGTTTATGAAGTAGGGGTCTACATTACTTATTATTCTTGAGACCTCAGGACGCCTCAGGCGCAGGCTGCTCTGCCACAGATTGGCTGGGTTGTAGTTTTGGGGTTCTGATAAGTATCTATGAATAGGTACCTCTATAGGAACCATAAGGGAAATTCAAAAGTTTCCCAAATTGCCGCCTAGTTAGAGTTGGGCTCTCTGAAACTACGCAGGAAGCTCTAAACTCTAAACTCTACACCCACCGCAATGTTGACCTTCCTCATCCTACAAGAGGAACTCTGAGCTTCCCCCAAAAAGCCCTTTAAGGACTCTTATAGATCCCTTAAAGGAGCCCTTAAAGGGCTCCTATAGATCCCTTAAAGAGCCTTGAATGAATTTCCACCCCAAACCCCATCCGATCCCCCAAGCCTGAGCCGCTAAACCTCTAAACCCGAAGCCCCTCAACCCTAAACCCCTAAACCCTCAGCCCTAAACGTTCATACCCCCAAGCCCTAAACCCTGACTTGAACTCAAAACCAGAACCTTAACTTTTAGTTTTATGACTCTAAACCCTCAAACCTCAATAATAGGTTCCAACCCTAAACCTTAAGCCTCTCTCTTACTCCAAAGCCCCAGCTCTCTGAAACTCCCAGCGGTGCCTGCATGATCCCCTGCTTGCCCTCCTGAACCTTCACGATGAGAGCCTCGTTCTGATCCTTCGGCAGAATCCTCAGGTTTTTCGGGCTTAGAGTTGAAGGGCCTAGGGGTTTAGGGTTTGGGGCTTAGACTTGATTTTTTTGGGGGGCTCTTTTTCCATCAGCTGAGTTCGGCTCTAGAATCTTGAAGTAGAGGAGGGTTGAGGGCATAGGCTTGAGAATAAGGAAATTTTGACAACCACCCACATGGGCAGGCCCTCGAGGCTGCAAACTGTAGCAACGGACTGTGGTAATGTAGGGGCAGTCTATGGCAGAGTCTTCTTGCGTTGGTTTACAAGGGCCCGGCATGTCGGGTCGCCATGGATACTCTATCGCTAACTTCAAGTAGTAGTAAAACTCTGAGGTATTCGCATCGGAGGAAATCTCCTCAGTGCGAAGATGCAGAATGTAGAAGCAGAGTGCAGGAACTTGGGAATTGTGAAAAGCTTTAGGGTGCGAGGTTTCTCATGCCGAGGGTCATTGTCACAGGAATGTTGAGCTTTATCGCCGTGAACTGCTCGAAGATGGTCCTGCGACCAGCCAGCAGAGGTGCCGCAACAGGGTAGAGTTCCCTTGGACAATGTCGGACCATAACACATTGCGGCGACCTTGAGAGACTTATCTGAGAGCAGCCGGAACCCCAAGTACAGGGCCTTCTCCTGAAAAAAACCCTGATATCTACTTGGGATCGTTTAGCCCGACAGCGGCCGTCTTGAAGATCCTACACTCCAGGTACTGAAGTTTAGTATCTAGAGCACCTAAATGACAACAAGAATGACACCAAAAAGATAAAACACATATCAATGCCTCGGGACATGCGCAAATTTTGGTTTGGTGCCCCGCCCTGCCTCCCTCAGCACCCCACCAACATCACAAAACATGAGAATGCCTCGAGAAACGTGCAAATTTCGGTGTGGTGACCTGCTCTGCCCCCACCAACATGACAGCATCGAGAAGGTGCCCCGCTCTCCCTCTCTGCGTATGCCACCGAAATAACAAAACATGCCCCCACAATTACAAACACATGAAAATGCTAAAGACAACCAAATCCAGAATGGCAAAAATCAGAACCCCAACGACAAAAAAACGACAAGGGCGAATGACAAATAAACCACCAAAAACATTCTGGAAGCCATGCCAAGCTTTGCACCAAATTTTCTTACTGCACTAAACACTGCGTGCGATTTAATGATTTTACGAGACCCGGAACCCGAATTCCTAAACCCTACACGGTCCAGATGCGAGTGAGGTATGTCGGATTCTCCCATTTGTCAAAGACGGCCACCACTTTGCCCACTCGCTTCAAGGTGCTCTCCTTGGGCTCCACAGCTTGTCATAGGGACCCTTAGGGCTTAGAGGTCTTTGGGGGGAGGGGGGTAGGGGACTATACTTCCTTAAATAGGCCTTATTTATGGGTATTAAGGCCCCCTACCCCCCCTTAAGGGTCCTTATGAGCTTGAGCATTTCCGGATCCTGTAAACGGGTTCCTTGGAAGGGACCGTTTCAGAGTTGGGTAAGGGTTCAAGGATATAGGATAGAAGAGCCTTCATAATGACAATGGGGCTTTAAGACTTATTGTCTCTCATTATTCCGACGCCATATCTTAGCTCAGTGGGCCTTCGACACATCGGGCACACGAGCTGCTGCATTCGGTCTGGCAGAACATATCAAGAATAATTAGCAGAAGACTTGTCCACAGCATCAATGAAATTGCTAACCCGAGAGACCGTATCACCGAAACCGTAGAAGCAGCAACACGGGGGCTTGAGATTCAGTGTGCAGAGAACTGAAATGGCGCGCGCCGGTATCGCGTTCAAGCCTGAGCACTTTTCCCCTTAAGCCTGAACCCTAAACTTTATGAATCCAAAAACCCTACCGTTTTAAGGGTTCTACCCTCTAATTAAAGGGTCATAACCCACTATTTTGTAGGGTTAAAGGCTGCGGGTTCAGGGATCTTGGGGTTCAGGACCCAGACCTTCCAAAATCCCTTAATTAAGGAATATACCTTAAATCATAGTAGGATCCCTAATATGATTTAAGGTATATTCCTTAATTAAGGGATTTTGGAAGGTCTGGGGAGTCCAGCGGCTAAAGCCGTTTGGGGCTGCACCTTCTCTGCTTCAGCTGGAGGCCAACTTAAAGGATCATGGGACTCAGTAACTAGGGTTCCTTAAAAGGTTCCTTAAGAGGGATCAAGGGCTCTATAAGAGGGGTTTTAGGGTTACTTAAAGGATCATGGGGCTTAGTAACTAGAGTTCCTCAAAGGGTTCCTAAAAAGGGATCTATAAGGGTTCTGTAAGAGGGGTTTTAGTGTTACTTGAAGGACCATGGGACTTAGTAACCAGGGTTATAATTGGGGTAACTATACTTATAACTACTTATGACCTCATTTGAGGTACTTATAACCATACCTACTAAGTCCAATGATCCTCCAAGAAGAGAGGGGTCTTGCACCCAGAAGCTCTGCCTTCTCTCCATCCACCCATTCGCCGGAGACCCTACACCCTGCAGGTAAAGCTGTAATGTAGGAACCTGATTCAGAAACCTTGGGCCTTCATTAGGGTTCCTTGTATTTAGGGGTTATAAGCCCAGGGTTTCTGAATCAGGTTCCTACATGATGGAGCCTTTACTTGCCCCCGCCCCCCCAACGCTATATAGCCTAATCCCGTAAATGTGACAGCTCCGAGATCCCAATAGACCCCTTAATTAAGGAATATACCTGTAAGTCATAGGGGCCTTAGTACTATGGTTTAAGGTATATATTCCTTAATTCATTGGTATTGGGATCTCTGGGAGTAAACACCTAAAACCCATACAGACCGAGGTGCAAAGACCTCTTCGAGGTTGGTACTCCCAGCGCCGTCACACTCGTAGAGGATACGGTACCTGAGACCAGGACTAGCTATATTATTATTACTATTATTAGCTATAGTATTACTATTATTAGCTATATTATTCCTATTCTTAGCTATATTATTACTATGATCAGCTATCGTATTGCTAGTATATTGCTATCATGAATATTACAATTATTATCGCGAGACTTTGTCGGCCCGGGAATTTGCTCTTGGGTCTTTGAGTGCACATACCCAGAGGCCCCAAAGTAGTTCCTTTTGGGATTTCCCTGTAGGATTCTATATACGAACCCCAAAAAAGAACTACTTTGGGGCATATCCACCGTCTTCCAAAGAACTCCAAAGGTGGCCGCAAGACTCCGAACACTTCTTGGGTGTTTCCGAAAATAGGGACCCTACACCCTACTAGAGTACCCTAAATAGTAGGATCCGTATTATAAGAACCCCAAAATACGCTACACCTAATTTTCCGAAACTCCCACCCCTGCGCTGCAACAAAACCTGAGCTAAGCCAGAGCCGAAGAGCTGGTTGTTCACGAAGAAGCACCTCAGACTCAGACCGCAGCTTCTCAGTCACGTTTAAGGTTTTGGGTTTAGGGTTCATTTCAAACATGCTGCCTATGGCTACGGGTCACTACGAACGACCTTAAATAGACTCTGAACTCTAGCCTACAAGATAGATTCTGAGCTCCTGCCGGCAAGCAACTAGAGTAAGCAGCAAGGCTCCTCGGGTCGAAACTGCATCGCCATGCTACTTGGAGGATCATGGGACTTAGCAAGTAAGGTTATAAGTGCCTTACTTGCGGTTATAAGTATAGCTACCCGAATTTTATCCCTAGTTACAAAGTCCCATGATCCTTTAAGTAGGCCATCCCTGAAATCTGATCCTAGAGGTCCGACACAGGATCGATCCTGCGCCGACTCAAGTCTTGCACTATTTTGGTGGTCCCTTATGATGGGTATAGTATAAAGCACGGCAATCCTTCTTGGAATTATTAGGGCCCCTATATCATAGAACCCTACTATAGAGTAGAGTACAATACACCCCCAAACCCATTGAAAACTGGGGTTTAAGGGTTCTTAGGCTTTAAGTTTTAGGATGTTAGGATTTTAAGCTTTTAGGAGTTTGCGTTTATTGCCGAAAATCATACAATGCTGTTTTGGGGGCTCTTTATTATCTTTATAGTATAGTGGCCCCCAAAACCCTGTTCTAATTATTAAGGCCCCCATATTACGCCCGATTCTGAAACCGCTAGGCCAAGTGGAAGCAAGATATCCGGCTCTAACCTTGGATCTTGGACGGAGAAATCCCATCAGGTTTTACGGAATCCAGGGCGCAAGCATTGCAGGCGCAGGTTGTTGAATTCAGGAAGTTTAGCCACATTGAAATTGAAACTCCCTACTTTGATCAATCCGGTGCTGCCTCTGCAAGAAATCCACACTGGGGGGGGGGGGTTGCGTGCTGGAGCTTAGGGTTTCCCTAAAACCCTAAACCCTAAAACCCTAAACACTATATAGTCCTTGACCCGAAGGCTTCATGGCGGGTCGCATGTACAAGAAGGTCTTCGAGGGCTCCAGGTAGGATTCGGTCGTCCAGTTTTCCAGGGCGCTGCTTATCTGCCTTGGCTGCATTAGGGCTGGGTTTAGGGTTTAGGGTTTAGGGTTCAGGGGTATTAGGGCTCAGGGTTTTGGGCTTTGGGTATAGGGTTTATCTGCCTTGGCTGGGTTGGGGCTTAGGGCTTAGGATTTTGGGCTTGGGGCTTTGGGTCAATGGTTTATCTGCCGTGCCTGGGTTCGGGTTTTGGGCTTGGCGTCAGGACTTGGGATGAAGGGGTCAAAGAGGGGCCCGGAGTAACAGGGATTTGGAGAACACCAATCACTAAATTGCACTTAATCATATAGGGTCTATAAAATCTATGAGGGGATAATCTTACTTTCTCGTCTTGCTGCTCTACTAAGGACTCTCGTAAGGGAGTGCAACTCAACACACCGCAACAGGCATGGCGTGATAGCCACGGCCTGGCGTGTGTGGCATACAAGACGTGGTGGAGGTAGAAGCACTTATACATGTATATATATATATATATATACATATATATATATATATATATGTATATATATATATATGTATATGTATATGTATATGTATATATATATATATATATATGTGTATATATACATATATATATATATATATATATATGTGAGGTCTCAGCCGCCGGCTCTGGCTCTGCATAGTATTGGCACAGAGCACTTTTGACGTTAACGTTTACCAGTGCAAGGTCACTTCAAACTGCTTGAGGAGCCACTCGATGTTGTATTTCCATGTCCAAGACAGGAAATGCGTACAGGCGCGCCGCCAGGGTCGCGGCAACGTGTCCTGAGATACCAGACATTCGAGTTCACAACATCAAAATTAGAACAAGTAATAGCAATCTTCATAGCCATGATAACAAAAATGACAGTAATAGTAAGCCTTCACGGTTTAGGATGTGCAGATAATTCAGAAGTCTTTCGGAAGCTGTCGGCATCTTGAGCTGCATAGCCGGGCTTCTACGAGCGCACAGCCCATGCGGCCGTCGCGGGGGCAGGGAATGTCCTGCATCGTGTGGATCTTCCACAGGAGCTTGGTGACCACAAGAGGCATCCTAAATCCTGTCTTCGATGCCTTTGTAGGCAGGCAAGCATGACACACCCCGCAAGCAAAGCGCCACTTAAGCATTTATGGGTACGGGATTGGTGGTGCAGACCTGCATGCACGTATGTATGTAGGTATGTATGCATGTGTGAACGTATGTGTGTATGTATCTATGTATGTATGTATTTACGTATGCACGTGCTGTATGAAGAAAAGTGTGAATGTATGTGCACTTGTATTTGTGTATGCGTGTGAGTAGCATGTATGTACGCATAGTATACGGTTGTGTATGCATGTGCATAAGTATGTGTATGCTGTTCATCCTTGGCTGCATACAGGCTGCATACATATGCCTGCCTGTTCAAAAGTGAACTAAGTACATGCACATGTTGTACACGGGCATAAATGACATAGCAGGCCGTGGGAAAAAGGGTGAAGCACCAAAGTCAAAAGGTTCTTGTTCGCTACATCAGCATTCAGAAAACACCTTCTGGCATGATGCATACATGCATGCACACATGCATGCGCACACACGCAAGACATGCGTATGTACGTACCTACCTGCCTACATGTATGCATGCGACACATGAAACCATCGATACAGAGATAGATAGATAGATGGTCAGGTATGTAGATAGATAGACAGACAGTTAAGTAAAACTAGGTCGGACATGAACAAGATACGATACGCATTGAATTTATGATAAGCCAAATTGATTTAACCCAAAAAATACAAGGCTTTCTCACTCTCTACACACCAAGACAAGACATGATCTGATAAGATAAGGCGATGCATTCACTATACGACAAGTAAAGCAAGGCGGTATAAAACAAGCCGCAACAAGATAATGCAAGATAAGATAGGGTGTGGTCCGGTCAGGGCAGGTCAGGTAAAGAGTAAACCGACAAATAGATGATGAATAGATGGATCTATCCATCGATAGAAAGATGATAGGAAGGTAGGCAGGTAGGGAGGTGCCAAGATCAACTCGGCAGGCTTCACCGCTCCTTGCCAATTGGGGCTTCGCCGAAGAATATGACGTCCTGGCTTGCGCAACTGCTACCCTAAACCCCTAAACCCTAAACCCCTAAACCCCAAACCCCTAAACCCCTGAACCGAGGCGGCGTTGGGGCTGTTGTCTTTGTGTCAGATGTGCAGGACTTACCCTGAACCCTAACCCCCAAAGGCCCACACGAATCCAAGATGTGACGCTACTGAGGCGGCTTCCCGCTCAAGCGTCGATTTAAGCCGTGTCGTGCACTTGCTTGGGCCTTGGGGCCTGGGGCTTCGCATTCCATGAGCCGTTTGTTTTGGGGCCCGCTGTCCTGTTTTCGGTTCAGAACTTGATTAGGCCTGTCCAAGAAGTTCGGATGCTTACGCAGTTCAAAGCATAAAGGCAGCAGATTCAGTGGCCCACACGTCCTCGATGCAAGGTTGGAAGAGCCATCACAAAGAAGGCTTCGAGGGGACAACTATAGCCGGCACTGCAGAACTTCTTGGCCGGCTTCTGAAGCCCTCCCAAACGTTAAACCTTTAGCCTACGGATTATTAAAGCTCATATAAAAGCACAAAAAGTTAAAGTCCTAAGACAGAAGAACGCCAAAGGTCCGAACTGCGAGACTCTGCAAAAGGCCAGTCATGAGCCCTCAAGCCCCAAACTCCGCAGCACAGTCGCATAGCAAAGATGAATTTACCAACTATGGGAGCAGGAAGGAACCCATTAAAGCAGATTCCTCCCTGGGTCCTTGCTGCGCAAACTACGTCCTACATCCTTCAACGTCAAACCCGTGGGTCACGGAGCCTTGAACCTCTCAACCCTGAGCCCTCAAGCCGTGAACCTAAACCCCAAACCAAAGCCATCTAGCAGTAGGAGAAGCCCTAAAACTCAGAATCCAAAAACCCCAAACTTCCTAACGCCGGCTTCAGAATCCTAAACCCTAAACTTCCTAAACGCAGACTTCAGAATCCTAAATCCTAAACTTTTTAAGCGCCGACTTCAGAATCCTAAACCCTAAACTTCCTCAACTCCGATTTCAGAATCCTAAACCCTCAACTTCCTAAACGCCGAAGCCTTAAACTTCCTAAACTCCGAAACCCTAAACTTCCTAAACCCCGACGCCCCTAACTTTCGAGTCCTTCAGGTCGTAAAAGCTGGGGTTTTCTTCGCCGCTCCGCTCCTGCCAGGCGTTACAGTAGAAGCCAGGAAGGGGATGGGTCAACCGTTAACGGGTTAAGGTTCGGGGCTTTAGGGCAGCACCCAAATCCCCAACCCCTCCATGGCGTCCTGTCGCCTCGCTCCTAGGATACCCAGTAACCTAAGAATAAAAAGGCTTCTCTTTTTGGTATTGGGTAACTTTATAAGGAACCTAGGACTACAGAAAGGGAATAAGGGTACTACTGGGCATCCTAGCCCTCTGTCCATCCGTCAAAATGTTCCACGTCTCTGCTGTCTGCATTACCTCCCCATCTTTTTTTAGAGGCTATGTTTAGAGAACTTCAAAATTCCCACACATATCAAGCACTAAGAGACCTTTACCTCTTGGGGCAGCTGGAGCGGGTCACACCCTAAACCCTGAGCCCCTAAACCCCTAAATCCAGACGTTGAAAAATGCCAGCATGCCGAAGCCTGCAACACCAACCCCCCAACATCCCAAACTTGAAAGACCCCCATGCAGGGCTTAGGGTTTAGGGTTTCCCATAAGCTTCATCCCCACTTCAGCCCCAGACCGCCAAACCTGCTTCAATGCCCCCTGAATCCCATAAAGTCTAAACCTTTCAACAACAAAACAACCCTAAACCCTCAAAACCCAAAGCTCGCCCCCTCCCCGTCCAACCCCCGACACTGAGTGGTCCTTGGCTATCGAGGACCAGGTGTCCGATAGCCTAGGGACTCCGGTCTTCGAAGGCAGGGTCGTGGGGGTTGGGAGTTTAGTAGCTTAGAAGTTTGGGGTTTAGAGGTTGGGGTCGTGGGGAGTTTAGGGTATAAGGGTTAGGGTCTTGGGTTGCAGGGGTTTCGCGTTTAGGGTGCGTCGCCCCTATGGGCGAAGGGCTCTACCAGTCTCGACTCGTGGAGATGCTTGCCAAGTCTGCATGGCCAGACGGAATGCAGGGTTCTTGGACACTTCATTCAGACTCGGGAATACTCCCACCCCCGCTCCCAGCGTTCGAGATCTAGGCCGGGAGGATCGCAGTGCTGAAAAGGTCTCCGCGGTTGATAGCATGGCCAAGTGCCGCCTGTGACACCCTCCCGCAACCTACAAGATCTGGACCACTTAACTCAAAACCCTACTTGGAGGATCATGGGACTTAGTAAGTAAGGTTATAAGTACCTTAATGGGGTTATAAGTATAGTTACCCTAGTTATAACCCTAGTTACTAAGTCCCATGATCCTTTAAGTAAGCCAGAAGCCCTAATTCTGCTCTTCAGGTACACTTGAGGTATAAACCGTTTGAGAACTGAGCCCAGGCACAAGTAGGCCACACTGACCCCGGCGTCAAGGCTCTGGTGCCTGCTTCGCTGAGCATGAAAGCTCTGCTTAAAGGATCATGGGACTTTGAAACTATAGGGTCATCATAAGCGTAACTATACTTACAACTACTTGCCCTTATACTTACTAAGTCCTAAACAAACGTGGGCGAAGCGAGCCGAATGCTCGGGGCTTCAGAGTCGTCTCAGGTTTCGGGTTTGCGGTTTTCGTAAGCTTCGCGTGTTCCACTTCGACGAACTGCCTGGCTCATTGCGGCTACAGTACTTGAGCCCTAGACCCCTCAACCCTAGATCCTTAACCCTAAGCCCCCATCAACCCCAAATCCTAGAGCAAGCAGGGCAGGCTCGCAGACTGTCGGCCCTAAGAGCTGCGAAATGAAGTAATGATTCGAGGTAAATACTCTCATCTATACTGAACTTAGAACCCTAGCAAAAACTATAATTTTAGCTGTTTCTTAGGGATTATAATAACCAAAAATAAAAAATTATTTCTAGGTACCCCTAAGTCATTGTGACGATTGAGCTCGAGAGAGACATTGACATGCTGCCAGGCCATGCAGAAAAAAGCAACGACGCAATCGCAAAACGGCACGTGGCCTCCAGGTCGTGCCTAGGCCAACTAGCTTACCATGGATTCCTACATTGGCCCGGGAAAGTCCACAAACCTGTAGGGGCCTTAATAATTAGAGTCGGGTTTTGGGGCCCACTTTACTTTAATCATAAACGGGAACCCTAGGAATAGTATCGGCAATTGTAAGGCCCTAAACCCTAAACCCTATATTGCCTGTACTTGGAGGATCATGGGACTTAGTAAGTAAGGTTATAAGTACCCTAATTGGGGGTATAAGAGGTTATAAGTACAGTTACCCTAATTATAACCCTAGTTACTAAGTCCCATGATCTTTTAAGTAGCCTCGAAGACAGAAACTTTACGAACATCCGGCGCCTTGAAGCCCTCGAAAGCCTCAACCGTCCAACATCACGCCCTGAACACCTCATATGGGTGCTTGTCAGAATTATGGTCCCTTTTTGGGTGCCTTAAATATTAGGTGCCGTACTATAATAAGGACCCAAAAATGGACCATAATTTTGACAACCACCCAAATGAAAGTTCGAGACTTCTTACGTAGCACTGCAAAAAGAGCCCTCAACACAGACTTCTTGACGTTTTGCTACCCCCTCACCCTAAACCCTAAACCCTTAAACCCTAAACCCTAAACCGGTCCTCAGAATCTCCTGCGTGAGGTCATTCAGCTGAGGGTCCTGCACTGAAGCAGCTTTGGAATTGGGGATTTGGGGCTTAGACTAAGCATTAGTATAGGGTTTAGGGTTTAGGGTTTAGGGTTTGGAATTGGGAATCTGGGGCTTAGAAAAGGGGCCAGAATAATTACCAACACTATTCTGGGGGTTCCTTACTACTTACAATGCGTTATAGATCCCTTATAGTAGCCCTTATAGACCCCTTTGAAAGGAACCCTATTTCTAGTTAATTAAGGTCCCTCTATGAAGGACTCGGGGCCTGAGATGCTGTGCACTGGCCCAGTGGGGCCCTGACAGAAGCGCCAGAAGCATTTACTCTTCTGCCTGACGTCAAAACCCTAAACCGTAAACCCCCAAAGCCCTAAACCCCTGAACCTCTAAACCCCTAAATCTCTAAGCCTCTAGGCCCCTAAACCCCTAACCCCTAAACCTCTAAACCTCTGCACCCCTAAACCCCTAAACCCTAACCCCTAAATCTCAAACGAGTCTCCTTCCAGCCGGCTTCACGAAGAGCGTCTCGAGCGGCCTGCAACAAATCAGGGTACATCCAAAATTTCCCAAGTCAAAACAGTCCTCAGCCCTAAACCAAAAAGTCCTAAACCCCAACACAAACCCCTAAACCCTTACACCTGAAATCCCTAAACCCTAAATCCCCCATTACTACTCGCCATAGCACATCTTTGCACGCCTTACTTACCATTGGTTAGTAGGGAATGGAGGAATGGGGTGCAATTATAACTACTGTTAGTACCATTCTTCCATTCCCTACTAACCAAGGGTCAGCTTGTAGCCCGGCATTCTCAACCCCAAACCCTAAACTCACAACCCAAACCCTAAGGAAATCCTAAACCCGAAACCCTTAAAGGGAAGTCCAGAAAGTTGGAATATGGCTTCAGGGTAGGATACCCTATAATTTACCATAGAAGGCTTAGGATAAGCATATTCCAACTTTCTGGCTGTTACCTTAAACCCCTCCTAAACCCCTGTCCCCTGACCCCGAACCCTAGACTTCCCAGCTTCAAAAGCCCCACAGACCCATGGAAGGCGACTGCGGGCCTTCTCCTTCCGAGGAGATGCGTCCCAGCAGGCATCCTGTCAGCAACTTTTCAGGGGCACTTGGAGGATCATGGGACTTAGCAAGTAAGGTTATAAGTACCTCAATTGGGGCTATAAGTAGGTATGAGGAATTATAGATCAGGCGAAGACCACGGTGGGTTTGACAAAGCCAGAAGTCCGGTTCGCTATTCTTGGTTCTCGCATGAACGATCCTACTACGCGGGCTTCCAGAGTTTAGGGTGTATACCGCACCTCTTCAGGTGATTTCAGAAAATCTGAGGTAAGGTTGTGAACTTTAAGGGTTTCTACCAAGGTTCTGAAAGCTTTGAGAAGTTGCGAAAGTGCCCCGCCTCGAGGTCCCTTCGGAGCTCCCCCTCCCGGTGCTGGGTGGCGCGGAGTCGCTGTCGGCGTCGAGCAGTTACACGCCTCGGTGAATTGTGTTTGCTTTCAAGCACCCCACACCTTCCAAAATCTCTTAAGTAAGGAATATTCCTTAAATCATATTAGGGATCCTGCTATAATTTAAGGTATATTCCTTAATTAAGGGATTTTGGAAGGTCTGGGATGTGTTCGGGCTCAGGATTTCGACGCACGCATCTGAAGTTCAGGTTGTGATGCCGCTGGCTTTCGGAAGGAACACCTGCAGCTCGTCGGTGTTACGTTCAATGCTAGGGGAATGGGGGCCGAGGTGGCTGCCATGACATCATGAATGCAAAAAATCCTGAACCAGCAGACTCTGACCCTAATCCGTAGTGCCAAGAAGCCAAGTAAGGCGGATCGCCATCGCAATCGCAGTGTAGATCTGGGCCAGCGAGCTACGCTGTCCAAAAACCCCGGAGGGTAAGCCTCCTAAGCTCAGAACCACGAAAAAACACTCCCCTCACCAGCATACATTACCAATATCCTATATCAGTAACGACAACTACTGACACGACGGCCTCAAACCCTAAACCCTAAACCGGCCTCTATGCTCATCTCCTGCTAGTTTTGCTGTAGCTTTGGGTTTACAACTTCTCAGGTCAAGGCTCTTTGGGTGCCATACTAGAGATCTATACTGAATAATAAGGTTTCCTTCGTATGGTAACTTGAACTCAACCCCTTAAGAAGAACGGGATCTATAGTGATTATGGTAACTTAAACACAACCTGTAGCCGAAAAGACCTACGTTTTTTTGTTCCTTACTATGGTTTCTATGTATATTTCCTTAAAAAAGGTGGGTCTCTTCGGCTATAGGAACCTCTTGAGAACCCAGACTCCGCGAGTTCAGATCAGATCGATTTTTCCCACCGGGGAGCTAAAATTCCGACCCCGCTGTTCATGAACCGCGTGATGTTGGAGCAGCCGTTGTAGGTCCAGACCTGCTAAGGGCTTACCCAAATATAGAGGCCTTACTAAACAAAATAAGGTTTTGTTTGGGCCCATTATTTTATAACTATAATAAGGAACCAGCAGAAGATTATTTAGGCCCCTTAGCAGGGCTCCAGTTGCCGAAATCATGGGTTACTTGCTTGTATATGGTATGCTTCGTTAACCTACTTTTAAAAAAGCACTTGGAGCCCTAGGGGTAGGTGTTTCGCCACAGTTCTAAGCGATTTGTTAAGGCGGAGTGAGTTGATGTGGGAGTTTCCGAAAATGGGGGACCCGAATATGGTACCCTGAATAGTAGGATCCTTATTATAAGGACCCCCAAAAAAGGTACCCCTCATTTTTGGAAACTCCCATGTAGTCTCATCCGTTTCTAGATTTTTCCGCGCGACAACACTTCAAGAACCTCTATGAATGCCCTTGGTTTTCGGGCAGGGCTGTCAAGTAATCCAGCTGAGGTAAGCCGCAGTTGAACTTCTGAAAATGCCCGAATTCACGGTACGGAGTGGGGTGGGGAGTCGCAACTTGGAGCGAGAGGTTGGGATCAGTGTAGACTATTTCCGAGGGTTCCTGTTGTATTCTACCATGAACCTCGAAATCCTACAAAGGTAGAGTTATGCTTATAATCGGCCAGAAGCTCTAAAAGGAAGCTCGATAGTCATAGTTGCAGTTATGAAGGGCCGTAAAGTAAAGGAAGCTGCACATGCTTCCTGCTTTGCCACTTCGCATGCGGTTTGAGGGCTGATGTTGCCCTAAACCCCCAAACATGGGGTCCTTAACAAAGATAGAGTTTTTTCGAGGGGGGGTTTACGGTTTGGGGTCCCTAAACCTTAAATCGCCGAAAAAGGAGGGTTTTGGGGGGGGTTAAAGTAAAAGCCAGAAAGTTGGAATATGATTATCCTAAACCCTTTATGGTAAATTATAAGGTATCCTACCCTGAAACCATATTCCAACTTTCTGGAGTTCCCTTTAGGTAAACCCCAAGTTTGCTCCGGAGGCGACACTCCTTACATTTGGTTAGTAGGGAATGGAAGAATGGTAGTAATGGGTTCCTTTAAAGGGATCCTTTAAGGGATCTATAGGGTTTAGGGTTTTAGGGTTTACCTTTGGTTAGTCGGGAATGGAAGAATGGTAGTAGTAGTAGTAGTAGTAGTAGTAGTAGTAGTAGTAGTAGTAGTAGTAGTAGTAGTAGTAGTAGTAGTAGTAGTAGTTATACTTGTACCCCATGCCTCCATTCCCTACTAACCAAAGGTACCTGTAGACGGAAAAACCTACCGTCTTAAGGAACCACATATAGAAACCATATTAAGGAATCCTAAGAAGGGTTTAGGGTTTAGGGTTTAGGGTCTTTTCGGCTACAGGTAAGACTCAAGGAGTTGGAGCTGAGATGCCTAGGAAAGTCTCGAGAGAGCTCTTGGTCAAAGGTGGAGGAAACCAGAGACTCCTCTCCCTTAATAAAAGAATATACCCTTAAATTATAATTAGGAGGATCCCTAATACGAGCTAAGGTATATTCCTTAATTAAGGGATATTGGAGTCTCTGGGAAACATGCGAGTCTGCCAACCCCTAAACCCTAAACCCTAACCCCTAAACCCCTAACCCCTAAACCCCTAAACCCTAACTCCTAAACCCCTAAATGTCTCCGATAAAGAGCGCAGATGCTGCGACCTCTATGCCAGGCTCGAGTCTTTTACGTGCTCCACGTTCTAAATCAGGGTTAGGGGTTAGGGTTCAGGGGTTAGGGTTTAGGGTTTTAGGGTTGGGCTGCATCCCAATAGCTGTGGAGGGCAACGGGGGTGGGGGTGATACCATTGATCTGGGAGTTGCCGAAAACAGGGGACCCTATTAGAGTACCCTAAATAGTAGGATCCTTATTACAAGGACCCCAAAATAAGGTACCCCTCACTTTCGGAAACTCCCATCTGTAAACCTGAAGCACCGAAACCATCTCCATAATATAGTGCCCTAGATAGTAGGGTCCTTATTATAAGGACCCCAAAATAAGGTACCCCTAGACCAAAACCATGTCCGGGCAGTCCGAAAAGCTATAGCCACGGAAACTGCGGCCAAGAATTGCCTCGGTTTGGTACAGGACAAACTTTCTTGGGCTGAACTCAAAGCCTACAAAGAACCAGTGGTATCCATGTATTAGGCTGAAGGTTTAGGGTTTAGGACTCAAAGCCTAGAAAATCCCAGAGGTTCCGGAGATGCTTCCTCTTCAGAGTTCCGATGCTTGCGAATGCTATCGCTGACTCTTTGTCCATGGCGTTCTTTAGTTCAGTAGTAGCTGAAGTGGGCAATTATGGCCATCCAGATCAAGTTTAGAAAAGGGAAGCTCGCTCGAAACCTCCACTTCGTTAAGACCCAACGGGGACATCGCGGGTCCCTTGCATCCTAGTCCCTGTGTGCAAAAGAGCGTCCTAAGGTGCGCATGGCTTCGGTAAGTCTAAGACTGACTCGCAAAAACACAAACCGCGTCTGTTCATGTGGGCCGCGGACCGGGCACTTAGTGGTTGGTTTAATGACTTCGCAGCAGAAGAAACAAGCGTGATTTCACGACTCGACGAAGTCTTTGCTGAGGACCCTCCTGTCTACAAGAGTTCCTTGCGCAAGCTGCTCTGGCACATTGGCATGAGCATGAACACGAATCCGCTGAATCGGATAGATGGAGGGCAGCGATGCTTTGCTTCTATTTGGTCATATCGCTCGAGACTTAGAGCATTAACTCAAAAACTGATGCTGGAACGTATGCGCCGGAGGTGCAAATCCTGTGAACCGCCCAAAGTCCGAACAGAAAGGATTTGAGGAGCGTCCGCCCCTTTCGGTCCAAGGTACGCCAAAAGCCAGGCCACCAAAGGGACACGCAAGATCATGGTTATGTGAAGCAGCTCGTATCGAAGGCCTGAAATCGGCAATTCCACAACAAGGGCTTCTTGGCTTAGGGTGATATAGGTTCCGGGTTCAGACAGGGTGTCCACTTCAACCTCGGTTCCCAACGAAGCCTCCAACGAAGCCCGAACTTTTCCCCCTCGACTGGAGACAAGCACTTGTGCTACACAGTTGTCAGCTGAAACTTCTCTCATACTCTTCTCCATGTACGAATGCATGTATGTATATATGCATGTATGTATGCACGCGTGTAAGTATACACTTGTGTAACTTGTGTATGTTCGCGTGTATCTATGTCGGTATTTATGTAAACGTAGTGTAGCCTTGTGCAAATAGATAGACAGTTCGACGGATAGAAAGACAGACGGACAAACAGCCAGGCAGGCAGGCAGGCAGAGAGACAGAGAAAGATAGAGAGATGGATAGACAGATAGCTAGATAGAGATAGATAGAAAATTAGATAGACAGACCTCATGTACATATCTCTGTTCGTAGAGGCAGACGACACGCCTTTTGCATGCCGCTCCTTCTCCGTCTCTCTCACTCTCTCTCTGTGTGTACATGCTCATATATATATATATATATATGTGCACACGCATACATATATATATATATATATATATGTATGCATCCATAAAGACGTGCTCAATACATATACCGTCTGGGTTTGGCGATTCGGACTGCGGGACCAACTCCCCCAAGTCAAAAGAGGCCGGGCCTGATCCCCCAAAGCCCTCAACCCAAACCCCAAAATCCCCAAACGCCTGATCCCCCAAAGCCCTAAACCCACAAACCCCCCAAAACCCAAAGTCCTAAGGCCTCAACCCTAAGTGAGCCCTAAACCCCCCAAAACCCCAAAAACCCCAAAACCCCTAAACCCAAAAACCCCTAAAACCCCTAAAACCCCTAAACCACTAAACACCCAAAAACCCCTAAGACCCTAAGTGAGCCGGGCGGCCGATGCGGGCGTAGCCCTGAAAAACCTGCCTCGGTGGTTTCGGATCTCTCGGGCGCTGTACTTGAAGGGTCATGGGACTCAGAAACTAGGGCTCCTTAACGGGTTCTTTTAAAGGGACTACTATAAGGGTTCTATTATATGGGGCTTAATAGTTAGGTACTCGGTTTTCGGATAGTACTTGAAAGGGCTCCTTAAAAGAGATCTATAAGGCTTCCATAGGAGTGGTTGTTAGGACTTTCGGTCTCGGGCTGGTAGGGCTTTTGAGTTTCAAGGGATAGCTCTGGGGCAGGGCTGAATGGCCGCCCGAGGTTTAGGGTTGAGTGGCAATATTAGGACCCTTATTATAAGGACCCCCAAATATATAATTTTCGGAAAACTCCCGGTGGTTTGCAGTTTGCGCTTGAATGTTTTTTACATCCCTGTTTCAGCCTCGAGGGTCGGGTAGTCGGCAACGAAGACTTCGGTGCTGTGGGTTCGGGCTACCCCCGGCGGAAGAAGTCGGGCTATCTTAGAGGCTTCTCAAATCTTAAGGCGAATTTTGGAGGCTTAGACGGTTTACGGAAGTTTCGGGCAGAGGCCGCGCAGCGGGCAATGAATGCAGTTGGGGCTTCGAGGTTCGATGATTTCAGAGCTGTCATCCCCAACGTGTGCTGGTCCTAAACCCCTAAACCCTGAACCCCTAGGCCCTAGACCCTAAACGCCTAAACCCTAAGTCCTAACACCCTGAACCCTACTGCAAACCCTACATCCTAAAACCCTTAAACCCTAAACCCTCAAACCCCTGAAGCCTGTATAAACCCCTAAACTCCAACACTTCTGGCGAGTCCAAGGCTCGATGCCGGCACTTCCAAGTGGGCACCATCTGAGGAGAAGACTTCCTCAGGAGTGTCTCAAAAGAGGGGGCCTTTAGAATTAGAATAGGGTTCCCTTTAAAGGGGTCCATACGGGTTACTAATTATATATATATATATATATATATATATATGTATAAGGGCTGCTATAAGATGCCATAAGGGTTTACACTTTCATGGCCTTCATAGTTAGAATCGGGTTCCCTTTAGCGGGTTATTTAATAGCTTTAAACGGGTCTATAAGAGATATTTCGTAGGGTTCTATGATATCAGAGCCTTAATAATTAGAATAGGGTTTGGGTTTTTCTATATGTACAATCAGGAACCACGCAAACCCTATTCTAACTAACTATTCAGGCCCCTACATTAGGGTTTAGGGCTCTGAGGGAGGATCCGCTGCTACCTCTGGACCGCGGGCTTCTCAGCTTTTGAAGTCTCAAGGCTTGGTGGCTTCGAGCTTCCGTTGCCGGGACTGAGGGTCCTTCAAAAAAGCCCGCAGTTGTGAACCCCCGGCAAACTTACTGGGGTAAATATGTATCAGTGTTGCTGGGGGCTCCTGAATGCAACGTTAGTACACTATATACACTAAAACCCCACCAACGTATGCGATCCAAACTGATTGCGACAAACGCTTCGGCATCCCTTTTGCAAAAAGCCATAACACCCAAACCCTACACCCTAAACCATAACACCCCAAGGCAAAAATCTGAAAAGACAGCCCAAGAACCGCAACCACAGCATCGAGAGCCATAATCACTATGGTTCTTAAGCCCACTTTGCAGCCAAAACCTGCACTTCAACACCCAAAACCTTACAGCCCTGCCTCCGAACTTCAAGCCCCCCCCCACAATAAAACTCCCTAAAACCCTCAAGCCAAAACAAAACGCACCAAAACCAAAAGAAGCGCACCACAACCCTGAAACCAAAAGAAACACGCCAAAATCCTAAAACTTAGAACCAAAAGAAACGCACCAAAACTAAAGCACTAAAACCAAAAGAAGCGCTCACTAAAACTTCAAAAAAAAACTTCCTCAGAGCCGAGGCGCGATCTGGGCTTCCCCGGCCACCCGAAAGCGCAGGGGAGCCTGCAAATGGGAGGCCAAAAAAGGGGGGGTCAAGGGATCTATAGGGATCCTTAAAAGGGATCTACAGGGGTCCTTAAAGGGATCTATAGGGTTTTAAGGGGGGGAGATTAGGGATTTAGGGTTTAGGGGTTTAGGGTTTAGGGTTTAAAGTAAGGTTATATAAGTACCTTACTAAAAGGCGGATAGTAGCCCCTATATATAATCCCCAATAATAATCCAGGGAGGCCAAAAAGGGGGGGCCCCTATAAAGGGATCTAAAGGGATCCTTAAAAGGGATCTATAGGGGTCCTTATAAAGGGATCTACAGGGTTTAAGGATTAGGGTCTACTTGGGAGGATCATGCACACAAGCCTGATGGGGGGAGGCCAAAAAAGGGGGATAGTAGCCCCTATATATATATATATATATATATATATATATATATATATATATATATATATAATCCCCAATAATAGTCCCCATAGCCCAATCTCCCATTCCCTACTACAAAGGTAAGCTTAGTGCCTGGGATCTTTGATGGGAGGCCAAAAGGGGGGGAGCTTATAAGTTACCCTAATTATTCCCCTAGTTAAAGATCCCTTATTTGGGGTTCCTATAAAGTACCCTTAGTAATAATAGGGCGCCAAATTAGGGGATCTACTTTCTAGATCCTCCCGGGGGCTTGATTGGAGGCCAAAAGGGGGGGGTTTAAGATTCTTACGGGTAGGGATTCCTTAGTATGAACCCTATAATGGGAACCCTAATCCCTACTGAGCCCCCATAGGCTAAAACCCCTTTTGGCCTCCTATGAGAGCCTTTCTGCTCTTCATCGCAGGGACCGCAAACAAGCTCGAGCCGCTTTGAACCCTACAAGGTTAGGGTTTAGGGTTTAGGGTTTATAGGGTTTAGGGATATATTCGAGCCCTTAACTAAGGACCCCTAAACAGTTCGGACTTTTTGGAAGATAGACCAAGCTTAAGAGCCGAAAGCTCTCCCATTGGCTTTCGAGGGAGCCTGCGGGGTATCCAGCGCTGGCCAGCCGGATCCGTGCACTTGAACCTTTGGCTTCATGTTTAGGCTTTAGGGTTTATAGGGTTTATGGGGTTTATAGGGTTTAGGGTTTATAAACCCTGCTATTGGGTTTCGGGACGGGCTTTGTCAGGCTTGTTGAGGTCCTTTGGGTAGGGTAGGGCTTTCGATCGGTGTTTCGGCTTTTGGCCTTGGTTTTCGCGGGGGGGGGGGGGAAAGGGGTGAGGGAGGGGTTTCGGTTGTAGGTCTTGTTGGAAACCTCTCAACAACTCCTTTCGATGGCATTACGCTACTGCGTCGTCTGCGGTGAGGAGCTCGCTAAGCCCAGAATAAGGTTTGGGGCCCACTATACTTTTAATATCAGGAACCGCCGAAATAGTACAGGTACTTATGAAGGCCCATATAGTATGGGACTATAGGGCTTACTCCTTGTGTCACTGCTGTTGCGAGTGTGAGATTTCCAGGTTAGGAACAGTCTGGGGGTGGGGCTTTCTTTCAATGGATCCAGGGCTGAGACATCAGGGTTTGGAGTTTGGGGCTTCTGACCCGACACTTTTACTGTTGCAGCGGCCATGGCATTTTCGATGTAGCAGGACTATGTTTGGGCCAATCGAATCCTCGACCGGGGCACCCGAAGCAAGCAAAACGCAGTTCACGCTTGCGGTTTAGGGTTTGGGGACCAGGACAGTTGAAGGCTTTAGGTTTCTGGGCAATCAGACACTCCATCCGACACGTCATAGTCAGAGGACATCGCAAATCGAGGGGATTGGTGGCTCCACAACCGTGACGAGAAAACGTGTGACACAGGGGCCTCCACTGTGGTCCGTAGCTAGATTAGGGCTGTGCAGTGTGGTTGTACATGGATTATGCAGGGCAAACTATTGCTAGTTGTTAGTTATATTCCAACAATGCGTCATCGGCTCAAGAACGGATTCTGTAGCCTTTTTATCCCAGTCCCCGAGGCATGGGGTCCCAAAGTAATGCTCAGCTGGAGGGGCGTAAGGCATGTCGACGACGGACATCTTGAACAGAGAGGACTTGCTCAGAAAGTGCTTGTTGCACCTCGGCCCACGGCATCAGGATCTAACCTTCAAGGATTGCTATCAGGGGTCCCTAGGCTGAGGCTCCTATCATGTCAGGTGGGACTTAGCCGTTTTACTGCTGAGAACCTGCAACGACATCAACATGGTAATGCATAAGCTCCAAAGTGCAACTTCGACCTTGCGAAGCCAACGCGTGAGCTCTGTACAGCGCAGCGTGTCAATCAAACTTCATTCCCTACCGCACAGATCACCCTGGGGGTCCATGTACATACCTAACACAGACTCTGGCCACCAAAGCGAAGTCTAGCTCCAATGTGGCTACCATAAACGACCACAAGAACCCTAAACGCCAAAAGGCTAAACTCATAGAGAATGTACCCAGACCCTCCATCTACCCTCTATTAGACCCTAAATGCCCATTATTTGGGACCATATTCCCTATTTGAGGGTACAAGGAGGGTCCTGATAGGGCTCTTGATTCCGAAGCTGATCGCAAAACGCCGAAGCAGTGCTCTAAGGCCGAAGCATGGTTGGATACCCGAAGCAAAACCGCACTTCAAGTTTTCTTTAAAGGTTCCCTGTAGGGTTTAGGGTGTAGGGTTTTTTTTTCAAGTTGAGTTGACTTTTACGTCTGCCGGCAGTCGGCTCTCAACTAGACCCACACTTCTCAGAAGACTAGCAGGATGCCACCCCACCATTCGGGTTTAGGGTTTACAGGGAGCTCCAGAAAGTCGGAATATGGTTTCATGGTAGGATCCCCTATAATTTACCTTAAAGGGGTTACGATAATGATGTTCCAACTTTCTGGCTTCCACTATAGGGTGTAGGGTTTAGGAACAAGCCTGAAATCCGGCCCTTCACCTCGGAAATAAGATCTTACACACACTGAGCCTGCGCCCCAGCGCTTGAACCTTCTAGAGGCTGCATTGTAGGCTCCTGAAAAGACCGTACTTCTGGGGGCATTCATAATCGAAAGCGGAAATCATAGGGGAATTGCATGAAGGCGCCCTGATGCGATATCAGTACTGCTACTGCTACTAATAATCATTCAGGATCCCATAGCACCCCGAAACCCTAAACCTGAACAAACACTAGTGCTACTCATTGAGGCCCCTCTGCTACCACCCTGCTTGTCCAGTATAATACAGCTTAACCCTTAATGCTATGTAGGGTTATAATGGCCCCAAAAGGTTAAAGCTTAACTACCCTACTACTAGGAGCCCTTCTGGAACCCTTCTAGAAACCCTATAATCGAACCCTGAAAGAACCCTTGGAGAACCCTTATAGAACCTTGAAAGAAGCCCTATGGAAGCCACAATCCGAGCACCGGGGCGCAAGTAGAGAACCAGACCCTTCTCGCTGCTGCGAGCTTGGAGGATGTAGAGAGGCCTCCGTAGCCTCCGATTGTTGCACAAAAGAAGGGTGGGCTGTGGGGGTTCTTTTTTTTTTGAGCCCTATAGCCCACCCCTTTCGGCTATTTGTGGGTCACCATAAGTGTCTAGTTTAGGGGTTTAGGGTTTAGGTTAAGGGCTTCGGGGTTCAGGGAAAAAAAAGGGTGTATACAATGGCTGCCATAAGGGTTACAAGTTTCAGTATACACTAGAATGAACTCCTCCACGCTATTCTTAAGCACTGTTCCGTTCTGTAATCCCTGTCTTCACACAGTAGAGATTACCGAGCAACCATGTTCGGCCCTCAGTCACCTTACCGCACGGGCCAGAATAGGGTTTTGGAGTGGTGTATGCTAGAAATATACGACAAACCGGAGACAACGCATGTCTAAGTACGCAGGCAACAACGTTACTTCCATGAATCTCGGGTGAACAGGCTACAAGGCTTGTGTTCAGGATGTACGGATGCAAACCTGAATAGGTATCTTTATTTGGGTGAGAGGTAGGCATCAGAGATGCCTTAAGTCAAAACTCAGCCTAGAACTACCCATGAACCTTCAATGGTTTCAGCCAGCCGTATCAAATTTCAGAACCGCACAGCTCAGGTAGCAGAAACGGTGAGGCCTCTCAAAGATTGGTGGAGGATTGGATTTGACGGCAAACCTTGTGTGCAAAGATCTCGTGTTTCGCATGCAGAAAAACCTTCACTTGCGACGGTGATGTCAGCTACTTAGAGGGCAATGTCATGGTAGGTACACCAGACGTCTCGACCCAAGCGAGTGTGCCTCATCATTGCTGGCACGACGAGGAGAAAAGCCTGAAGATTCACATGGTACGTAGTAACTCGGGTCATAATTAAGGTAATTATACTTAGAACTACTGATAACTCCAATCAAGGTACTTATAACTATACTTACGAAGTCCCACGATACCCCAAGTGGGGTTCGCTTTGCGACATTCTTGGCTTTGGGAGCCTTGCCCCGAAAAGGTCAGGGAAAGGCTCGACAAGAACATAGTGGTGGTGGTGGTGGTGGTGGTGGTGGTACTAGTAGTAGTGGCAGTAGTAGTAGTAGTAGTAGTAGTAGTAGTAGTAGTAGTAGTAGTAGTAGTAGTAGTAGTAGTAGTAGTAGTAGAGTAGTAGTAGTAGTAGCAGTAGTAGTAGTAGTAGCAGTAGCAGTAATCGTAGTAGTCGTAGTAGTAGTAGTAGTAGTAGTAGCAGCAACAGTAGTAGCAACAGTAGTAGCAACAGTAGTAGTAGTAGTAGTAGTAGTAGTAGTAGTAGTAGTAGTAGTAGTAGTAGTAGTAGTAGTAGTAGCAACAGTAGTAGCAACAGTAGTAGCAACAGTAGTAGTAGTAGTAGTAGTAGTAGTAGTAGTAGTAGTAGTAGTAGTAGTAGTAGCAGTAGTAGTAGTAGTAGTAGTAATAGTAGTAGTAGTAGTAGTAGTAGTAGCAGTAGTAGTAGTAGTAGTAGTAGTAGTAGTAGTAGTAGTAGTAGTAGTAGTAGTATAGTAGCAGCAGCAGCAGCAGCAGGAGGAGTAGCGGTAGTAGCAGCAGGAGCAGCAGGCGGTAGTGGTAGTTTTAATGGTAGTGGTAGTGGCAGTGGCAGTGGTAGTAGTAATAACTCATAGTAGTAGTACCTAGAAGCCCTTTGATGCTGCAGGGCTTCAGAGCGGTTCCTGGTACCGAAAAACCTCTAGCTGCTGAGGATCTAGTAATCCAGCAAGCTCTATCCCAAAGGATCCAAAGTACCTATAAGCCTATATAGTAGAATGTAGGGTTTCAACATCAGCAATCCTGATTGTGACTTGGGAAGGTATCCCCCGACAACAGCACCTAGCACCCTTTGGACATAGGCCCTAAACCCGCAAAGCTCAATATCACCAGCCTCTGAACCCTCAACTTCTGAAACCCAAGTGAAACTATGAAATCTCTTTCGAGATCAGTCCTTGATCCGAATCTAGCGAGCACCACAACCTTCATCAGAGCTTCCCCGGTGCCCCTTACTTTGGGAGTATACTGAAATGGGGCTTCTTACTCGGCCTTGATTAAGGAATGTACGTCAAACTTAGTAGGATCCCTAAACTGATTCAAAAGTATATTCCTTGATTGAGGGATATTGGAAGGTCTGGGTATGCCGTACTTAACACGCCTTGACAGTGGGCTTCCCGGACCTGATCACGCCAAGGCTCCATGATGTGGAAGACGATGGCGGAAATGGCGTAATACATATTGAGCGTGCAGCTGGTCAGCGAATCCTGGGTTCAGGGTTCAAACTTTCGGGTTCAAATTTAGGGTTTAGGGTTTGGGGTTAAACGTTAGGGGTACCCGGAACCCTGAAGTCCGAAGACGCCCTCATCTGGGGGAATGTGGTATCCACTAGCCAAGACACTGGCGAAAGAAGTACTTCGCATGCTCCGCGGTCCTTAAACTCTACTATACAGGCCTTCATAATTAGAATGGGGTTTGGGGGTATATCATACTATACCTTTAAGAAGGAACCCCCCAGAAGACTATTGCTAATTGTTTAGGCCCCTATATTGCCCGAAACCTAACTTAACCTTAAGACCCTCCAACACAGAGCCAAAACCCACCCTAAGCCTCAAAGCCCGGATCTCGAACACCCGAAATCCCGCAGTCCAAATCCCCCTAATTCGGAGCAGGACCTGTTGTCCTAAAGACCAAACATTAGAAGGGGCCCCCACCCTGTAATTGTGGTAGAATAGGAATATAATAGGGCCCGAATATAATCCTTGTAGTCACTTGTACAGGGTGGGGGCAGCTCCTAAAAACCACACAGAAGGAGCTTTTGTCCCCTCTAACAGATGCACCGCCAGCCCTGAACCCTAACACCCTGGCCCGCAAAACCCTGAACTCCTAAACCAACACTGCACCCCAAAATCCAGAGCACCAAAGCCAACCCAAGATCATAAATCTAAAAACCTCACCTAAATAAAACAGGACCCTGAAACCCTAAACCCTAAACACCTCCCACAAGGGCACAAGAACACCAGGGCACGGGAACAGGAGAGGACCGATGCCACACCTCCTAAACGGACCTAAAACAGTGCCAATTAACCCTAAACACATGCTAAAAGGACCTAAGACAGGAGGGCGTTTGAATAATATAGGGGCCTTAATAACTACCTAGACTATTCTGGAGGTTCCTTATTATAACCATAGTAGAATAGGCCGCAAAACCCTATTCTGAATATTAAGGCCCCTTTTTTCGCATCGATGCCCGGCAGGCTTAGATCAAAAGTGTTGCAAAAAAAAATTAAGGCCCCCCCCTTTTTTTACATAGCAAATCTGTCTTTCCGGGTCGCGGTGGGGACCTCGAACTCTCGGCATATGTCCTCGGATCAATCGGAACTTCGAATCTTTCGTTGGGTGTAGCATCTTCCTAGGGGTCACGGTTAGAGTTTGGGGGTGAGGGTTTAGGGTTATGTTACGGTGTGAGGGTAGGCTTTGAGGATGATGTAGTTCGGCTTTGCGAAGCTAAAGCCTGCAGCTGAAGCTGATACGGTTTGCATTTCTGATGAGTGTCTTGTTCCTTCGCAGAAGGTTCAGTTGCAGCAAGTGCATGCTTTCGGTGGTTTCGGGTTTCAGCTTAGGGTGAGTATTCAGGGTCCGGGCTAACTCCACGAAGAAGCCTATTAATAGCTGCCACATTGACCTGCTTGCCATCTCGGGAAAGCACCAGCAATGGAAAAACTATCTCTGAAACCTCACGAAGCCCTCCCTTTCGTGTTCTTCTTGGGATAAGTAATAGATACCTGGGCAACCCTGCTGGCCGCACATTTCCATCTATGGGACATTTGCAAGAGAGCTCTAGGGAAACCCCAGCGTCTAGAAGAGCGGAAACCTCGCGCATCCATGGAGTTGATTTCCTAGCTTCTCTGCCTTACGCCCAGCGGGAGCTTAGCAGTCGAGCACGACGTCCCAGGCTACAAACTTGATTCAAGCCAGCATTGCTAGATGGCTAGATCAAGTATTATGACCTAGTCAGTATTAGTATATGTCACACATACACTGCGTGTGTTTAAAGCTTCTTCTCAGCCCAAGTGTCGCACATGCCGGAGGAGTTGGTGTAAGCCCGCCAGCCCTCACAGATCACGCAATCCTTGGACAACAAGGGGGCTGTTTTTGGAGAACATCTCGAGAAAGAAAATGATTGGTGCCCTGGTCGATTTTCCGGCAAGGCCGAATTTCAGATGTACTGAAGGGGCCTTAATAATTAGAACATGGTTTTGGGGCCCATTATACTATATTTACAATAAGGAACCCCCCAAAAATAGTACTGGCTTTCCCTGCTTAAAGGATCATGGGACTTAGTATCTAGGGCTATAATTAGGGTAACTCTACTTATAACTGTACTTGTACTTCCACTTGAGGTACTTATAACCTTACTTACTAAGTCCCATGATCCTTTAAGCATGAAGCTCAGCCTGATCGGGTGCCGGGTGCCCTGCAGCCCCCGCGCGATGTGAAGTTGTGAGCCCCAAGAAGAACACCCCGAACATACAATCATCCTGAGGGGCCCGGTGCACACTCACCGAGAATGCCTACATAATGTATATCCTACCCTATGTAGGGTATGGTTTTCTATTACCTTACTAGTATCCCCATAGTAACTCTAATATGTTGCCTCATTTTCGTATTGGAGGACTCTAAGCTTCGATGGGCAGAATAATCTAGACCCCTGATTGCCAAACACCGCTTCGTAAGAGGTTTGATAGACGTACAAACCAAGTGTATAAAAACCAAGGGTCTACATCACCTAAACCCTAAGTCACCTAAAGAAACCCACTACCATTCAAGGAGCAGGTGGGCTTCCGGTGTTTTGCGGGCTCGGTGGTGCCATGGCGGGTCTTTCGTCTCACCGATTGAGGTCTAGGGCTCAGGCTTGGGTAATTGACAAGATGCTCGTCCGGCTTCCTGGGTAAGCTTGGCAAAAAAACTGCCTTTTAGACTCTATACGGTCTACACAGTAGGATCCTTGGTTTGAGGACACCCCCGCCCCAAATAAGACACCTCCAGTTGTAAGATGCTATCCAAGCTGCGCCAACTTCGGAAGAGAACTCCTTCCCTGGATCACAGCTGAAGTCCAGTACTGACATATCGATGTCCACGGTGGCGATGCCCCAGAAGTACCTGAATTCTCGGGGAACTATCAGACTAGTCAGTCATGCGACAACGACCCGCAGCGATCCCATGCGGCATTCGTGGGTTTCGCACGTGGGGCACTAGGCTTTGAGGTTTAGTGTTATGGCTCTTCTGCCGAAACCAAGGCAAGTTCTATTTTGACACAAAAGGCACAGCATTCATTTCTCTTTAGACGTTGTGGCTCGGATCCTGATGCAATCCTCTTCGTGACGAAATCCGAAAGCACGCTTCTTTGCGAAATGCCCCAGACCCGAACACCAAAGCCACAAAAACAAGACATGCTGGATGAGGGAACCAAAGCGCAGCTCGTTCAAACCTTGGTTTGAAGCCTGCATCAAATCTTGCGTTGTGTATGGTGCGCTTCCCCAACAATAAGAGGCCTCGTGCCGGATTCCGCCGTCACGATAGGCCGATTCTCTGGCCAGCCATAGGGCGCGGTGACCTGCAATGCTTACATTCTCGACCGTAGTCGCCCAGGCACCGACGATAAACGCCCAAGCCCAAACTGTTTTTAACTTGAAGCCCTGCGCCTAATGCATGGTTCGAAGAGTCTGATTCACTGAGATTCTTGTGAAGTGCCAGGGCGCGAGTTTGAAAGGGGTCCACTCCTTCAACAAGCGGCCGCGGTGCTTTTCCCTATATAAACACACAAGTTGCAACAGACACAAACATGACAGCTGAGCGTTTCACGGAAATCTTCCGAATCAGAAGAGCCGTGAAGACAAACATACTCTTTTCACCCGGACGACGAAGATATATGCTTATAACATGCTCCTTCCATAATTTAAGCAAAACGGCGACAACAACTCGCAAAACATAATCGTACATTCAGAGACAACATGGACCAGCGAAGTGTCCAAGTTCTTTCCGAGCATCGTTTGGCGGCGGCGGTCCCATGGAAGGAACTGGCGTCTGACGCGTGAACGGAACGGAGAAGGTGACCATTTCAATGCCTGTCCAGCGATTCGGCCGCAGAAGAGTTGGCAGGATCAACGACCTCTCACTCTCACTCTAACTCTCACTCTCACTCACTCACTCACTCACTCACTCACTCACTCACTCACTCACTCTCTCTCTCTCTCTCTCTCTCTCTCTGTGTCCCGCTCTCTATCTGTAAATCTGTGTGTTTGTGTGGGTTTGTTCGTGTTTGTACGTTATTTCTTTGCTATTGTTAGCTGTTGTTCGTTGTAACTACCAAACAACAAATCGTGTTGCTGGTGCAGCAGCGGCAACAGCAGCTGCAGGGGTCGGAGTGGCAGTGGCAAAGGCAGTGGGAGGAGCAGGAGCAATGGTCGCCGCAGCCGCAATCGTCGTAGTGATGAGTCGTCGTCGTAGTAGTAGTTGTTGTTGTGGTTGTCGGTCGTCATTGTCGTCAGTTTGTGTCTTTTCATATGGGCGAGATGACTCCATGTGGAGGCATTAGGTTTGGCCGGGTTTGCTTCTACTTCATTGGGCTGCAGACTCGGGCGTCTCACATCAGGCAGAACACCTCCCAAGGTCAAAAGCCCTGACCCTTACTTTCTCACTGCCATACCGGCCCTGAGCTTCGTTTACAAATTGTGAGGGTACTGGCCGACTTCATGAGCTCGCAGCTCAACCCTCATCATTGTGGCAAACTTACAGGCCCGAAGCCAGACTAAACGCTGAACCGCTTAACCCTGCAGTCCTTATTATCCATAGTAACCCTTAACCCGAAACCCAAATCCGAAACCCTAGTTTCTAGTTCTGAACCCGACGTTCCTAGGTGGCCAGCTGATTGCAGACAGCACACCGCCGGCACCGGCGTCGTTGTACGGCTGGCCCCAGTACTTGGTGCAACCAAGCTCTCTAGGATAATCTACAGGTTCAGAAAACAAAGGCACCAAAACTCAAATCCTAGACAACAGGATCCACATCACGCAGATCCCATCACTTGAAGCCTAGGATCATGTCATTCGGTTTAGGCAGACCCACAACAGGAAATACCGTGGAGACACAAAGTAACGGAGACGCAAAGTAAGCCGACACACAGCACCCAAAACGCTCAGAAACGTCTCAGTCTCAAACTCAGACATGCAGACCAGGAGATGAGGGCTTCGGCACCCTCACACTTCCCGCAACTCCAGGCTATGCTATAGAAGAGTATGCACATATATATATATATATATATACACACATACATATATACACATACATACATGCTTGTACATTTAAGTGTGCCTGTATATATGTTTATGTACTATGAGTATAATACATAAAGTATGCGATATATATATATATATATATATATATATATATATGTGTAGCAAGGAAGGAAGGATTGAAGGAAGGAAGGAAGGAGTTAGAGAACTACCCATATCCAGAACAGAGTGCACAGTGTCCCGAGACTCCGCAACAAGCTTAAACCATCAGGTGGATGCCTCTACACTTTAAGGTAACTACACCCCAAACCTTCAACCCAAACTGGAGGTATTTCAGTCTCTGGGTACGTGCTTCAGACGTCGAATGAAGGTTGTGCAGCGAAGACATGCCGAGGAACAACATGTAAAGACGATTGCACAGTCATAATCTTAATAATAATCTTAGTAACCATCAAAACAAGCATAATAAGAATAAAACAATCGTAGTCTTAATCATAACAATACTACTCAGAAGTATTTACTAGTAATGATTGTAGTAGCAATAACAATATTAATAGTAGTAGAAATACTCACAATGTGAATGACGGGCGCCAAACCTGCTTCGGTCCGTAACCATACAAGGATGCCTCGCACACCGCGCAGCAAATGCCACCATGTCATCAAGATGCACCCAGAGGCTGAATTGTCGTGCTGTTTGCTGCAGAGAATCGGATCCTAAATACGTAAACCAGACAACTAAAACGCTAGACCCAAACCCTAAACCCACCATACTCAAAGGTTCAGGCAGGATTGCAAGCAAGAAATGCTGGATCTGATTCTGTCGCTGCAACAAACTGAGCCAAAGCCTAAACCCAAATTCAGAGGCTTTAACATGGAACAAGGCTCCTTCAGGGGTACTTGACAGGGTTCCACGAGTGTTCTTTAACGTTTGGTATACATGCCACAATAAACAGACTAGGGTTTCGGGGAGTATTCGATCATGCGTACAACAAGGAACTTGCAGAAATGGTACTACTAATTTTTGAGGCTTCTTTTTGCTGCTGTTGAGGCTCACCAACCAAAAAAGGCAACTCCTCATTGATGAACAGCGTCCGCGCTTTACTCGGATGGGTGCGAGATTGGGGCTTCGTTGTCAGTCTCAGCATTCAAGATTCGAAGTGCTAAGCCATGGGTACATGTCTGCGGAGTGAGAATGGATGAATCGAGCTAGCCATGGGAACATCAGTCATGCGGTATGGTGGGCTCCAGGGCATCATTCCAAAGGATCCAAAGTACCTGTATCGCAGAACACTTAGGAGTCAACAAGGCTTGCCACTCAGTATCACACAAGTTTGATGAGTCAGTCTGTTTCATGCACTCCATTAGTAACACGAAGGACATTATCAGAAGAGCTCTAGGCAAGGATGATTCTGGTTTCATACACGACTGGAACTAGTTTCGCGGCCGAGGATGCATGGTCCTCGAGACGAGGATTTTGAGGTAGTTGCGACTCTTTGTAATGTAGTGGCCTGACCTCAATAGAATAAAATATTGGTGTATATTGTGCTATCACTACAAGAAGGAACCCTAACATATGATACTGGCAAGTATTCAGGCTCCTCCTCTGTTACCATCACGGACACTCACAAGATTCGAGATGGGCTTTCGGCTTTAGAGGGTAGCTGCGGAGGGGCCCTAGTTAGGCAGGGCCTTGATCATAATGAGAGCAGGTTTTGGGGGGCATAGTCTGATATTCTAGAATTAGGTGAACCCTTAACAACATGCTAGCAACTCCGGCATGCCTAATAATACCCACCACCTGCTTTGCAACAAGAGGCTGGTACCATTCCTGGGTGGGGTCGAAGAAGTTGTAGCCTGGCCAGAGATTGCGGGGTGAGATATTATTCCTTAAACTACCGAAGTCGACTTTCTTGTAGGGTAGATGGAACTTAGTGGAACCTTACATACAAAGAATAGGTTTGGTAGGTTAAGGTAGGCCGTAATAGTTAGAATAAGCTTTTGGCCTATTCTAGTACGACCACTTTCGGAAAATAATATAAAGGCCTGGGCTCATAGTGCGATGTGGGGGCGGGGGGGCGGCGGGGCGGGGGGTGGGGTGGGTATGGTGCAAAACAATCATATAGTGAAGTGACGGGAATGCCAAAAGGATGCCAAACCTCCACATTTGGTTGGCGGCATGCGTGGCCTGGAGATGTGCGGTGCAGCGGTGATGTTGCCGTTTTGTGAGGGAATTATTTAAGCCTTTCGAAAGGTTATTGTACACCAAAGATGTTGAAGGCTTCTTGCTCCAGGGATTATATAGTAATATAGTACTCCAAAAGGCCCTAAATCCTAAGCCTGAAAGATCACTTACTCTGCTACGCGTACCACGCTCAGTCTTCGAAAATTCACAGGTGCTCCAGGACTACCTGAACCGTTGCGGCATCCCCGCGCATGATACATATATATATATATATATAGAGAGAGAGAGGGGCCTTAAGAGTTTCAGAATTAGAATAAAGGTCTACTCAGGCTTGTATAAAGGATGCAGTAAATAGTGTTTGCATTACTGTTCAAGGGTATAAGGCCCTAGTAAGTAGAGTAGGGCTCTGTGCATACACAGTACATTTCCAATAAAGAAGGAAAAATGGAATCGTATCCTAATTATAGTGATAATTCAGGCCCGTATCCTAGGCATCGCGATTCTGTCTTCACCTGCATGCAATATATGCATGCAAGAGTACACAGTTGCATGTAATATTGTAAGCTGGTGTCATGTTTTCGCGCTTGGTTGATCCAAGTTTACTACTCCTTCCAAGAATGCGTATCCAAGAATGCTTTCACCAACTGGCTTTTGATGCAAGCCACTGTCTGCCAGATCCATGACGACCTCATAGGGCGGCTCCTGCTCATGGCAAATCTCGGCACCACAGCCATCTGTCGTTGCAATATGGGAGTTTCCGAAAATAGGGGACCGTAATATAGTACCCCAAATAATAGGATCCTTATTGTAAGGACCCCAAATAACGTAGCCCTAATTTTCGGAAACTCCCATAATCCCACTTATGGCAGTTTCATCGTCAAGTGAAAGAGCCCGGACACGACAGTTAAATCCGAATCCACCCAGGAACCCCAAACCCCAAACCGAATCTCCAAAACTCCTAAACCCCCGAATGTTGAACCCCGAACTCCGCACAGAACACCGCCCGTCAAAGTAGGCTCCAGCTTATGCGGGTCGGTGGGCCCACGCGCCACGTATGGGGCCTGGGGCTGATGGAGCGTGGCCATGGCTGAGAGTGTGTGGCCATGGAGGACGTTTTGCGGTTACCCTTCATAGCCGTTTAAGATTATAGTTGTGACCAAATCAGAACCGTTTTTAAGTTTAAGTATATATATTCTTACTATATTACTCAGAGCAAGTATATAGTTGCTGTTTGGTAGGGCTTTCGAGAACTACCCAGCTTCGCAACAGGTGTTGACCTGAGCCCAGCCCGAAGCCTCTGAGAAGCCTTGGACTCTTAGGGTTTACGGCTTACGGTTCTCCAGAAAGTTGGAATATGGTTTCAGGGTAGGATACCCTATAATTTACCATAAAGGGCTTAGGATAATCATATTCCAAATTTCTGGCGTTTACTGTAGGGGGTAGAAGGGCCTGGGGGGTCAGAGGGTTTAAGGTTTCGGGGTTTTATAAATAGGGGTTCTAAGGCTTCGGGGGTTGAGGGTCTAGGGTTTAGGGGTTAAGGGTTTAGGGATTTAAGGAGTTTTATGGCTTAGGAGGTCAATCAGGGCGTTTTAGGGTTTAGAGCTCATGCGTTCGGCCGTTCAGGGTTAAGGGGGTTTAGGTTGGGGGTTTAAGAGGGTCTCGTAACCCGAAACCCGAACCTCTAAGCCGAGTTCTTGCCAGGCAGCATAGAGCACGGCCTCGCGCCCCTCCCAAAGCTTCGTCTTGGGCAGCGTGAAGGGCTCTGTCATGTTCCGCCAATAGGAGGCTCCTGCTTCCATTTGCTTCCGCATTTGTGTGGGGGTCTCGGGATTTAAGGTTTAGGGGTTTGGAGCAAGTTCGGACTTAATTGGGGTGTTGGCTCACAGGTTTCTGCCTTCAGGATGTAGGATTCTACACAGCCCCTAGACCCTAAACGCCTAAATCATAAACCCCTAACTCGTTATAGTTATAGGGCTTTTGGTTTCTTTCGGTTTTGGGTTCTAGGATGTGGAAATCTAGGCTTCGGAGGCTTGAACTGGTCGGCTTTGGGAGTTGAGGCTTGAGGGTGTCGGGTTTGGGGCTCAGCATTTCGGGCCTTTCTTTCAGCATGCAGGGTTTAGGTTGGGGGCTTGAAGGTTTAGGTGACGGTTTAGGGTTTTGACTCGAGGCTCGAGACCCCCTCCCCTGAACCAGCACGAGTAAGGCCGATTCCAAGGACTCATCAGGATCACTTCCAGCTCAAGGCAATTTCGCAAGATTACTCGTGCATCCGCCCCGAACCCTACTACAATACACGCGCTAGAGTATACCAGATTACACTACGGTGAGCTATACACCATAGACCTGTATACTATAGTATACTATCGTGTATCATTCTTACACTATAACTAGAGCATGCTATACTATACCATAATATACTATACAAAATGTCTCCCTATTCCTGCCTGCAGCGGAGTAGACCCCCCCAGCCAGCAGGGAGGAGTCTGGTTCTATGCTTCCAGTCCTCTGAAGGACTTGAGTGCATGACATGGTTAGGGTTTAGGGTTTAGGGTTTAGGGTTTAGGGTTCACAGAGGTTCATAAGGTTCATAGGGCTTATAGGGCTTACGTATAGGGTTTATACGGCTTGTAAGGCTTATAGGGTTTATAGGGTTTACATGGGTTTGTAGGATTGACAGGGTTTAAGGCTACCTTCAGCCGCCAAGGAGATTTGGATCAAGAATCAAGCGGACAGATCGATTCGTTTATGGGTGCTGAGAATTTCTTGGTGGGAAATGTTCGTCCACTCGACTTAACCTGCAGATTCATTGAGCTTTGTTCCGAGCTTTCTCCTAAGCCTAGCCTGGGAAGAAAACGGTCCAGGAACTCCTAGTCAAAGCCAGGTTCAACTTTAGGGTTTAGGGTTTAGGATTTTAGGGTTTAGGGTTTGAGGGTTTAGGAAGATGTGTGAACTTTTGAAGCTTCTTGAGCCCTGCAGAAAGCAGGCAGATCCAGATCAACTGCAGTCAGAACCATTGAATCTTTCCAGCTGCGGGGGCATACAAAACTTAGCTCGGCCCTCAAGCGTAATTCCTTTTCCGGTTACCTACTCTCTTTTAGCAACACACATTTATAAACTCGAACATCCCAAACCCTTCAGAATGTTGTCAAAGGGCAGTTATCGCAACCGACCGCAGAGGCCCGACTGCCCGACTCGCTAAACACGAGACACAGCTGCAAGTGCATGTGCTGGCGTACAGGCCAGGCGTACAGGCCATTCCCTAAACCCTAAACCGCCAGATGCTTGGCTCGTTGCCGTCCAACGTTTATCACAAGCAGCTGCATCATTGGAGCTTCAAAACATATCCCACTCTTTGTTCCGTAGAGTTCTGAATAGAAACTCATGCACCGCTGTTACAGTACATTCGGCATCAGAACTATAACTTCTAGTGTACTATGTTAAACGTACATTCTAGTATGTTATATTATATTAAGCTACTATGTCGTAGCAGTCAAGTCTCTCGTTGTTGGCGCCCGGACGCCAAGGAAATGAGTCCTCCCACAAGGCGCAGATGCCAGCATCGCAGTGATTTGAACTATGAATCCCTAAACTAGAAATAGATAAAGGGTACCGGTTACTGGCCGTATCATGTGTACATAGCCCAGAATCCCATTCTATGGTTGACCGGAGATCTCAGTATTTCTGCGGGACTCGATTTTGGAAGTGGCTGGCGATGTGCTACTCCTTCTACTACCTACCTACTGGCCTACCTACTTACATAACACACGTACACGCAGACCGTACAGATACACACATACCATACACATGCACATACACGTATACACACATACACATACACATACACATGTTTAAACACTACTTGCATACCTGCATACATACAGACATGCACACAAACAATACAAACAACACATAAACAATATGCAAGTATGTGTGTACATATATATATATATGTATGTATGCACATCTGCGCTGATTTTTACATACTGGACTATGCGGTGTACTTGTATACACATCCGTCCACCCATACTGAATACACATACACGTAGACATGCACAACCACAAACCCCTATGTTGACACAGACTCGTACACATATGTACATACATACCTACCTGTCTACTTACATGCATGCATACCCCTTACATACATTCATGCATCCGTCCAACCATCCATCCGTGAATGTGCACGTACATACATACATGCTTGCGTACATACATACACATGTAGTCCGATGCCTTCATGTATCTATTTCGCTGCTAAATCTACATGTACATAGGCAGAATGCCCAAAGCCCGGACCGGCTCGAAAGCGATGGCCGCGCCGTAGACTCCCGGCGCAGACCGCAAGCTAAGATGCCTCGGAATTGAGAACTTAGACACCGCACACGCTCGTCAATGACTATAGTTTGTATGTCCAGGAAGACCGTGACTTAGGCAGACCCTCATGCAAACGATTGGATACTGAGCGCTCCAAGCCGCTCTATGACGGCAAACCACTAGCTCTCACGGGTTCGGGCCTCGGCAAAGTCTGGGATATAGAGTTCGAGAGTTTCGATGGAATCAATACTCCGCAACATGCTCACTACAAGCCCTCTAAACACAGAGCCTGAACAAAAAAAAACATAAACACTAGCCTCTCGAAACTAGAAGCCTTATAGAAGCTTGTATCGAAACCTTGCGTTAGTGCTGGGAGCTCACTGCATACCAAGGCACAAGAGTTCCAGAAGCATCTGCGGCGTCACCTCACATGGGTGGTTGTCAAAACTACGGTCCCCTTTTTGGGTCCCTATAATAATGCGGCACCTATTATTTAGGGTACCTACAAAGGGACCCTAATTTTGACAACCACCCACATGTCGAGGCACGGGCCCAGCTTGTTCTAGTTCGGGCTTACTGAAGGGATCATGGGAGTTAGTTACTAGGGCTACTTACAGGGTTCCCCAAAAGGTATCTATGAGGGCTCTATAAGAGGGGTTTTAGGGTTACTTAAAGGATCATGGGACTTAGTAACTAGAGTTATAATCAGGGTAACTATACTTACAACCCCAATTAAGTACTCATGGGACTTAGTAACTAGGGTTATAATTAGGGTAACTATACTTATACCCCAATTAAGGTGCTTATAACCTTACTTACTAAGTCCCATGATCCTCCAAGTACCCTCGTGGCTGTACTCATATGATATTTCTCGGATTACAGAAACATCTCAATGGTTATATGGTTATGTCCTATATATATATTTCGGCGGGGCGATGACATACTATATTAGAGGTTCTACTCATAACCCTGGAATAGACCAAAACTTTTGAGGGCTAGACCGCCATACTCTTGGATCCACCGGAAGGATCTGCCAGTGAGTTATAGTTCAGAGCTCAGACGACAGGAAGTCAAGGGAATGACGCAGAAGGGGGATGCAAGGGATATGAAGGAACCCTAACTAACAACATGGACAACTTTTCCGGACCCTAAATTACATCACATCTACGAGTGGACGCTCACCAACGATGGATCAATGATGCGTTTCCGGATGCCTCCGTCGCCCTAGCGCTCAAAATTGGACCGACAAACATGACATTCAGTCTTGCCATCTCAACCCTACAAGCCCTAAGCCCAGAAGCCCACACCCCAGCCCAAACCCTAAGGATTAAAACCCTAAAGCCCTCCCTGCTGCCTCCTCTCGTACGATGGAGAGGAAGGCTGCCGTTGAAAGGGCAACCTGTGCCTGCGTGGCTTATTGTACATGGGAGTTGCCGAAACTTCGGGGTACCTTATTTTGGGGTCCTTATATGAGAAGATCCTACTATCTAGGGTACTGTATTAGGGTCCCCTATTTCGGAAACTCCCACATGGTGCGTGGGGTTTTAGGTGTTAAGGTCCGGGCCTCAGGTTTAGGATTTAGTGTTTAGGGGGGGTCAATCACGAGGAGGGTCTCGAACCGGACCGGAGTCAGCGTACTTGGAGGATCATGGGACTTAGTAAGTAAGGTTATAAGTACCTTAATTGGAGTTATATGTATAGTTACCCTAATTATAACCCTACTTACTAAGTCCCATGATCCATCAAATAGCCTGCACCACGCAGCCTGAACTCTTGAAATCACGGGCCCAAGTCCCTGAAGTCCTGATTTTCGCGACGCGCGTACCGCGATAAGCCTTGCACGCGTTCCGACAACGCGTCCCCAAACCCGATTCTGATTTTGAGGGCGGCTCCTACACGAGCTACCAGTACCTTAGGAGCAAGACTTTGTTTAAAGAAGAACTAAGCTCCTTAAGCCCCCAAACCTAAAACCTAAACCCTGCACCCCCGAAACCTAAATCCTCAAAAAAACCTAAACCATCCTAAACCCTAAACTGCTGTGACTCCTCGTCTTCCAGCATGCTGGTATCGTACCTCCGGCTCTTGGAGGCTTCTTGGCTTAAGAGGCTGGGGAGCTTTATGCGACTTTTGCTTGGTTTGTTGGTTGGGGTTTAGGGTTTAGGGTTTAGGGGCTGGCTGGCTGGTTGTTTGGTTGGTTGAGGTTTAGGCTTTAGGGTTTGGGGCTCAGGGTCTTATTCTAGAGTGCTCCGTCGCTTGATTGAAGTAGAGGAAACTAATGCCCGGCGCTTTAGAGATTCCCGCCTCTTGGCTTCAGGGGTTCAACATGTCTTGTATAGCCTTGGCCACCTCGGAAGAACCTCCAGAGCTAAGTGCGATCAGCAAGAAACAACTCCGACATGAAACCCTACTTGGAGGATCATGGGACTTAGTAAGTAAGGTTATAAGTACTTTAATCGGGGTTCTACGTCTAGTTGCCCTATAATTATAACCCTACTTACTAAGTCCCATGATCCTTTAAGTAAACAGAGCTGCTCAGAGCTTGAGGCACAGCGGCAGATATTGCAGATCGAAACCCTAAACCCTAAACCCTAAAACTCTAAACCTCAAAAGAAAACTCCAGATCGGACATCTGCCTAACTACCTCTGGAAATCACCCTTTTGCCCCTTGTCAGCTCAAAGAGCCCCAAGAACAACACGGCCTGGACTTGTTATCCGAATCTTCTTCAAATCCCAAAGCCCCCAAAATCTTGAACCTCAAAAGACCCCAAGCCTTTTACAGTCGCCGCCGCGATCCCCTGGTGGGAGACCACGTAAAAGCCCTTATGAGCTCGAAGCCTCACCACCTAAACTCTAAAGCATAGTAGCAAAAGAAACCCTCAAGACCTACAAACCTAAAGCCCCTCAAACCCTAAAACCTACCTTCCCAAACCATATATATATATATATATACCCTAAACCCCAAAACCCTTAAGCCCCAAAGCCTAAACCCTAAAGCCCCATATTCAAAAAAGACCCAAACTGACTCCTCAAGCTCCGCCGCGGGCACCGCGCATCCTGGCTGACGCCCAGCATTTCGGCCGCCGCTCTTCGGCGCAGCCTCCGAGACCTCCGAGGGCGATCGTAGCTTGGCCTTGGCTCTCAGCGGAAGAACAGGGCTTCAGTCAAAGGGGAAAAGGAGGGACCTTTAGTGGGGACCCCTAGCCTATAATGGGATTTGTAATGGGTATATAATGACTATATTATGGGTATATACCTAGAGGTCCTTACTAGGGGTCCCTCTTGTTACCCTTTGATTCAGGGAGAGATTACGGTATTCCCCTTAGAGGCACAAGTGCCCTCATCTAATTACAAGGACTGGGATGCCTACATACCTAAACTCCTTCTTCATGTTCAAAAAGCAGCGCACTGGTTTTCCTTTCACAGGCGCATCTGACGTACATATGCTCTCCCAGCAAGGCAACATGCGCACGTCCTGCCAGCAATCCACCCTGCGCCGGCGCCCGACGTCACCAATCTTGCGCTTCTTATCTGGGCTCTCCGTGTACCCCTCCCTGGGCCGGAGCCCACCAGGGCGGCAATCTCGTCCATCCCAGGTTGAGAGGGGTATGCTCAAACATGCCGGAGGGACCGCATATTGCTCGCGCGCTTCTCTTTCAACTTTGGCGTCAAATTTTTTCTCAGGAGCTCGAGGGACCACATAGTCCCGGTTCTCAAGAGTCCAATCAAGGAAACGCAAAAAACACGCTGATTCGATCCTGAACTTCTGAAGCTTTGTGGGGGTTTCGTCGTCACATAACCTTATCTCCTTTTCCTTTTCCCCCACTCGATGTCCATCAAGAATTTTCCACAGGAGGTGGACGAGAAGGCAGTCAAACCAGGCAATATGGCCGACATGCCTGTCCTTGCAGAAAACTTTGATGGCCAGCAAGTCCGCCTCGTTCTCTGAATCCGCCTCCAGCTGGACATCGGCAGATGGCTCGAAGAGATCATCACAGTGCTGCCGACAGCAAGGTTGTCGATCCCAATCCTCGTCGCATTTGCAATCAGTATAGTACTGACGGCCCACTGCAAGCAGCGTCAAGTCATTCACGGAAGCAGGCAGGCCAGTGCGAGAAACAGAGCATCTGCCCCTAACGATCAGGTCCAATTCGTCCACGGCTATGGCAACATGGCAGTGTTGACGAGGAGTGTCACCAGCCCTCTGTCTCATTTTAAAGCCATGCGCGTCTATCGAGAGTTGCATCTCATCTGTTGGCTGGACCATTCTCCAGCCATATGGCTCAGGCAAGTGTGTCAAGAGCAACGTGTAGAAAACATGACGGCTGGACTTCTTGTACCAATCGTCATCAACATGTCGCAGAACCTTCCATTGTGACGGTTCTGCCACTGTTCGAAGGTGGTCCAGGGCGATGTTGACGCAAGCCTTGCTATATTTAGGACAGCATGGGCCACACGGGCCGTGCGCCATGGTCCAGATAACCTTCCTTTTGAGCGCCTCCACAGCCAAGTTTCGATGTTCATTGCGCCCAAAAACCTTCCCACTTGTAGATATCCACTTTCTGCATTCCACGTCTGTGCCATGCGTGAGCACAACTCGACTCACATCAAGAGAGACGGCATTGTGGCTCTTTGATGAGTCGCATGCCTACACCGAGTCTTAGTCTGACATGAGTGTGGAAACATGAGTGCCCTAATATGAGTGTTCGTGCCATTTCAGCGTACGCCTTCAGCTTTGAAGTGGGTGCTGGCTCCGTGAGATCATTAGGATCAACAGAAAGGAAATGGTACATTCAGAGTGTGATGCTACTATGCCATTGTTACTGCAACCACTTCAGAGGTCTCTTGAGAATCAAACAGCACTGAGTTATAGAAGCCTCAAAACGCTGAGTCCGTGCGTTTGCGAGGCTTAGTATTTGGGGTTTGAGGCACTCCTCTCCCACTCCCTTCCGTGCGTTTTGACTTGCAACTCCCAGCCTAACAAGCCACTGCAACCACTTCAGAGGTCTCTTGAGAATCAAACAGCACTGAGTTATAGAAGCCTCAAAACGCTGAGTCCGTGCGTTTGCGAGGCTTAGTATTTGGGGTTTGAGGCACTCCTCTCCCACTCCCTTCCGTGCGTTTTGACTTGCAACTCCCAGCCTAACAAGCCGACCATGTTCTACCACTACAAGTAATGTGGGTTGATTCGTGGGATTCTGTTCTGCTCTATTGCATCCTACACCCTTAGTCCGAACTAAAACTAAGTGCCTTGTCTAAAACAAAAGAGCCCTACATCTTTAATAGTACCCACCTAGTGTCTAGTCCCACGCACGATACAAAAACACGGAAAACCATACACCAATAACACACAAAAATCAAGTCTGACAACTCAAGAGCAGGGAGCTTTTCGGGTTAGGACTTGTTTTGCAAAAAACCATGTAGACATGTTTATGACTGTCTTTTAAGATTTACACTTATAACAGCTCAAAATAAGGATAAGGAAGGTCTGGACTTCCTTCCACATAGTAGTTGGTTTGGCTCAAGTACTTCTCTGTTCTCTCAACAGTATATATGTTCTTACTCCAGCTTCCGCTCCTTGTGTTCTGCCTGCGTTTCGCTTCCTAAATATCTGGACCTCATCTGCGCGGTTTAACTCTGGGTGTATATACTATAGGTACCTTAACAGTTAGAATAGGGTCCTGGGGCCCATTATACTGTAAGTATACCAAGGAACCCGCCAAATAGTATTGGTAAACCCTATGCATCTAAAGCTTAAAGATATTGGGCAGAGAAAGGGCGCAGGGGCCGGTTCTCCGCTAGGGAATGCCGGGCCAGTCTTGGGCTTAGGGCTTTCGGGTTTTGCGGTTCAGGGTGTTAGGGCTTGATGAAGCTTCAGGGTTTAGGCGTTCAGAGTGTAGGGGTGCAGCTATCGGTTTAGGGGTTCTGGGCTCTCCAGCGGAGCACAGCAACACAAGCATGAGAGTGGAGTAGCAACAACAAGCAAGACTCTGATGAAAAGTCGCGGGCAAAACACACAGGTGACCATGACTTAAAGATTCCATGAACATCTCGGTCGACTTTAGTAAGTAAGGTGTAAAATAAGTAACTTATTTGGGGTTATCAGCTTCAGGCCGTAGTCCTCTCGACCCCAGGCAATCCCCAAAGACGCCCCAAACTCTGAACCCTCAAAACCCTACTTTCTATGAGACCTTATAACTCCAGGCCAGTATAACACTCAACCTAAACCTCCTAAACCCCCTCAACCCTGATTAAAGGAAGCATTCTAGTCTAGTACCTATAGAGGAACTCATAGAGGAGAATCCTTACCAAAACCCTTAAAGGAACTAGATATAGATCCCTTCATGGAGCCCTTCAAGGGATCCTAAACCCCTGAAAGGAACCCGAAACCCCATATCATCAACTGGAAACCTTCGGAGCCCCAAAAGAAACCTTTGATATAGGGCCTTGATGTTAGAATAGGGTTCCGGGGCCCATTATGCCATACTTGTAATAAGGTATCCCCAAAATAGCAAAGGTAATTATTAAGGCCCTTATAGTAGAGCACCCCCAGAGGCTCCGACTCCGCCGCAGCGCAGAAGGCAAAGAGAAGGCCCAGCCATCGGAGCATCGCGTGGAGAGCGAGCGCTGCATCGGTGGCTCTGGGAAGCCACTCGGTTTTGGTTTAGGGTGGGTTTAGGTTTAAGTAGAGTTTTGGGTGGGTTTAGGCTTAATTAGAGTTTTGGGTTTAGGGTTTGGAAAACCGGAATTGGGAGCATAAACTGCTGGGCTGCGGCTGTGTGGGATCAAGCTCTGTATGTAACTACCGATCTGTCTATCTATCTCTCTACCTGTATCTAGTTTCTGTCGGTTTAAGGTTTAAAGGGTAAAGGGTTTAGGGTTTGATGGCCTGTCATAAATTTGAAAGCATGGGGTTTACGCAGGCAGCCGAGTTTTCGGCTCTGGCGTTCTTTCCTTTCGTCTGGAGCAGATACAGCATAGTCGGAGGTGGGCGCACAGACACTTCAGAAACGTAGGGTACGCCACATGGTTGCAAGTCGGGAAATTGAAACGTGTATTGAAGCAAATAGATGTTGTGCCCGTCGGGGTTGATGCACTAGAAGAAGACACCTGTAGAGGATCACAAGACCAACGCTTTGATACGAGCAGGAATGCATTCATGAATCAAGATGCCCTGCTATAAACTACGGGAAACATGCCACATGCACGTACTTGCTGGTCCCCAGTCCTGAGTAGAGTCAGTTGTTTCTCTTGAACCCTGAAACACGGTAGTACTACATTCTTTGGTACTCTTGTAGTCTATGTCGGTATATTTCTCTTGTTTTGCACTTATACAAATCTCGAATCTCAACAGCCAGCCCAGCAACGATGGTGCCCCCTCCCCCCACACATCTACAGCACATTGTTACGGAATTGTGGGATAAAGGGGTTTGCAGTCTATTGGTTGAAGGTCTAAAGTTTATGGGAGTAGGGGTTGGAGTTTAGGGTTTTAGCGGGATTCAGGGGTTTGAGGGTTAAAGATCAAAAACCTGCTCGCAAACGAAAGCTGCGCTCACTGCCTCCCCCCGCTTCAATACCTCCTTGCTGACGCAGAAGAAGCCTGTGCCCGGGTCTGCACCGAAAGGGTCCCATCTATCGATATAGCACAATGTAGGATTTCCATGTTAGGAATGACTATTATGACTTAGGGAAGTATTCCCCATAACAGTACATAGGCCCCTTTGGGAGCTGAAACGGAACCAAAGCTAAGCCTGGACCGAAACTCCTGTTGCCTGAAGTTTATAAAGTCTAGGGTTCAGGGGTTTAGGGGTTAATTAATTAGGGTTTGCAGGCTTATTATGGATTAGAGTTTCTTAGGATGTAAATTCTCAGGGTTCTAAGGGGTGCAGGATTCATGTGTTTGCTTGGCGTGCAAGGCCTGCAGCGCTCAATCCAATGCCGTGCCAAATGACCGAAGCCCTTGAAGCCCAAGAGATCAAACCTAATGGTTTTTGCGGGGCCCTATACGACCTGCACTGATCCGATGATACACCTCAAACCGTAAACCTTAAAGCTCTAAGCCTCAAACCGTAAACCTTACAGCCCTATATAAACCTCAAACCGCGAATCTTACAGCCCTAAACCTCAAACCGTTATTCGAGCTTCAGGGGCTGCAGCTTCCTCCAACTGGTGACTCGGGTTCGGATCGCCTTTTGCCCGTCAAGGGGCTCCCTGTGAATTCGCAAATTCTCATGGAGCCACTGAACCACGAGGCAACATCACAGAAAACTTAAGTGCCGACACCGACATCTCGACTCTGCCCAAGTCCACAACTGAAGCACCGAAAAGCCAAGCCTTATATCCGAAAGAAACAAATACGCGACACCCTTAACCCTAAACCCTCAACGCGGAACCCTATACTTAAAGGATCATGGAACTAGGGTTATAATTAGGGTAACTATACTACCCCAATTAAGGTACTTATAACCTTACTCACTAAGTCCCATAATCCTCCAAGTCCCATAATCCTCCAAGTAAGCCCTAAGCCCTAAACCCCTCAACAACAAAGCTCCAGCCCAGCATCCTGCAATCATCAATCCTCCACCCCGAACCGTGATAAAATAGGGTTCTTAATGATTAGATTAGGGCTCCTTTAAGGGGGTCCTTTAAAGGGGTCTATAGGGGATCCATAGTAGGGTTCTGTGATATAGGGGTCCTAATAATTAGAGGAGGGTCTTGGGGGATACTGTGCCATAACTTTACTTAAGGAACTCCCCAAATAAGCCCTAAACCCTAAACCCTAAACCGTAGGTAGCTCTTTCAGCTCCTTCATTGCGAGAATCATCGATCTTCGGGCATCAGGTATAGGATTTAGGATTTGGGATTGTAGGAGTCGTGGGCCGCATGTTGGGACCTTAGAGTCCCAAGTTAGGGTTAAGCCTAGAATCCTACACTTAAAGGGCTCCTTGAAGGGATCTATAGGGTTCCTTAAAGGGATCTATAGGGTTCAGGGATTAGGGTCTACTTGGGAGGATCATGGGACTTAGTAAGGTTATAAGTACCTTAATTGGGGTTATAAGTATAGTTACCCCAACTCTTAACCCTAGTTACCAAGTCCCATGATCCTTTAAGTAGAAGGGATCCACAGCAAACATTGGGGTTTCCTGATTATGGTACCTTTAGCCTTTTCAAGAAGGATGACAAAGAGGCGATACGGCGATACTGGTATTCCTCATAGTCATTAGCTCTTGAAACCTTGATAGACCACAATCGCACCCCGAACCCTTTCAGCCCCGATCTGCACATCCTACGCCCGGCCGCTCATGGGATCTGTGGATGGCGCCAGGAACCATGCCAATAGGGTGGCACCAAAACTCACGGCCTCAATGTCGAGTTCTGGTGTACCGATGCACAACGAGCGGACCGATAGATAGCCGCTAGATAGATCGGTGATTACAAATGGACTTTCTATAGAAAGAGATGTGGACCTACTAACACTGTCTCTTGTCTTGCCCCTACTTTACTCGCAACATACGGTGAGGTCCAATCGCGAATTGAGGCAGCTTATGCGGGTGATCTGCCCCAGGTTCAAATCCCGAAGTCGCAAGCTGACTGCACCGCCCCTTCCAACACCTTCTTTGCGGAGATGTTGATGCGACCATGGAAGTCTTTGAATATCTCCATACATCTAGATCTACATCAAAATTCATATCGACTCCGAAATCTTCTATATCAATAACAACATCAATACCCATGATTACCTATATCTATGTGGTCATTCTTTGAAGGTGACTTGTGCTGCTCATGCCCAATTACACCGTCCTTGTACCAACCTCAGGGCTACTTTAGGGGTTAGGGTTTAGGGTTTAGTGTGCCGCCATCACCGTCGTTCTTCGACTCCGGGGCATCCACTCTCCGCAGCGGCGACCACTCGAAGCCCACCTCAGCGCGCAGACTAACACTGCGAAACCCTACGCGAAGGAGGGAACTGTTGATATTTCGATTTCGGGGTCCTTAAGGGTTCTATCATCCTTACTAGTTCGGCTCCTTGGTCGTTCATTAGTGGCTCATGGCGAACCACAGAAGCCCCAAAGAATCTCAACAGGGTCTTCGGGTAGGTTACCGTAGAGTTAATGGCCTACTAGTACGAATACCATGGGCTCCTAGTCAGCCAATGGCTGACTACATGGGAACCTGCAAAGCCAGCAACAATAGACTCATAGAACATGTTTACAATAGAGCCTACAGTCGAGTCTCTGGGGCCTTATACCCCAAAATGAGAGTTAGGAGGCTTGGTATAATCTAATGTAGATGCTGTATATATATATATATGTATGCAATATATATATATATATATATATATATATATATATATATATATATATTTATTTATATACACACATACTCTTGTTGACAAGAGGCCCGAAACCCTACAAGCAAAACCGTCGCCAAGCGCAGAAGACACTAAGGCCCTCGCTCCGCCGCCCTCGACATGTCGAGAGCCAATGGCAAACTCTGCAGTGCCTGGCTTTTTGTTTCGCGATGCGTAGGGCGAGGGCTTCCAAAGAGCTATCAATAATATAGTCGGGTTCTATAATATAGGGGCCTTAATAATTAGAATAGGGTTCCTTTAAAGGCGTCTATAAGGGTTACTATAAGGGATCTATAGAGTAGGGATCTGTGATATAGGGGCCTTAATAATTACATATACTATTTTGGGGGTTCCTTATTATGGCTGACTCGGAAAAGGCGTCATAGGGGTTCAGGATTTGGGGTTTTAGGGCTTCAACAGGCTGACTCGGAAAAGGCGTCAGGGCGGTTCAGGATTTGGGGCTTTAGGGCTTTAGAGGGCTTCAACACTCTAAGCAACTGAAACGAGCTTGGCAGAGGGGGTCGCAAAGCTGAACCCAACTCTCCCTGTGCACGGCCGTGGAAACCCGAAGCCTTTCACAGACTCATGGAATGTTTAGTTTGGAGCTTAGCTCGGGCTGGGATATAGTGCCTAATAGTGCATAGGTTGGCATAGGTTTTTGACAAAACCTTATTTTGTTTAAACAAAACCTACGTTTTAAAACCTAATCGTCCGGGCAAGGGGTTTCGCGGTTTACCGTACCTCCCAGGGAAATCTCTTGGGCTTCTTAAGGGTCTCAGAAATCCTACATCTTGAAGTTCCCACAATTCTCAGCACTCTAAGGCTCCAGGGTTTAGGGTTTGGGGCTAGGGTTTTGGGACTTCAGGGGTTTGGGTTTAGGGATCTTCCCGTCAGAAGAGAAGCCTTCCATGACCGGCTGGGCCACGGCAGGGACCTGAAAGGCATCCAGAGGATTGGGTTTCCTGATACAGGGACCTTTCGTACCAATCTCTATTTACAATTTCTGTGCATATGTATGTATATACTTATATATATATATATATATGCATATATGTACTAATACACGTATAGTAACTAAATGAATATACATAATATATATATATATATATATGTATATATATGTATGTGCATATGCACACACATATACAGTTCAACTTATGTATTTTTATTTATTTAGCATTTTGAGGGGCTCTGATGAATGATGCTGGTGATTTTCGGTCTTGTACAGTGAGTGGATGCTCGGGTTCCAGGTGCTGCAAGGTTTGTCATGTCAATAAGCCTGGTGCTGTCCCCCGACCTCCTGCCAAGGGATACAAGCCCTAAACCCTAAACCCCTAATCCCTAAAGGCTAAACCCTAAACCCTAAACCCCCAAACCTCTAAACCCCTAAACCCCCAACCCCTAAAACCTAAACCCCTGAACCCTAAACCCTAGCCAAGGGACACTCTCCGGCTCGTGCTGGAGGTCTGCATCCATGCCTGAGGCTCCGCATGAAGCAAGGATAGGGGCCCCAAAAATCATGATAGTTCTATCCCATATGAAACCCCCTGTACTGAAGCTCAATAAGGTAGGGATATCCCAATGCCTGTAAAGGAATCGTGCTAGCCACCCAACGTCGGGAGCAGGTCGGATATTTGACTAGGATGCTATACATGGGGCTCTATATTAAACAACTACGGAAGTCAGACATTATCTCAAATCGATTCATCGATACCTAGTTTACTTATCAGCGGAATGTCTATTTAAACCTCAGCGCCGGGCAGAGAAGGACCGGATACTTGGCCATGCTGAAGCCGAGCCTCAGCCGCTTGGCTCTCGTTTTAAGGCAATGCTCAGGGGGCTACTTAAAGGGTCATGGGACTTAGTAGGTAAGGTTATAAGTACCATAACTGGGGTTATAAGTACTTATAAGTATAGTTACCCCAATTATAACCCTAGTTACTAAGTCCGAAGATCCTTTAAGTAACGGTATTTGATATGGGGGCCTAAAAAATTAGAATAGGGTTTTGGGGCCCATTCTGCTATACTTTTCGTTTAGGCCCCTGCATTAGGGTATTGGGGGCAATGTTCTGGGCTTTGGGCTTTAGGGTTTTGGGGCTTCAGCCCCGGTTGCTTTGCGGAAGAAGGCTCACGTGAAAACACATGCAAGTGCCCTAAACCTTGAGCCTATGAACTCTTAAATCCTAAAGCACTAAAAACCAACGCCACAACCACCCAAAACCAAAACAAAACACAGCCCTGTGGTTTTCGGCGCCCGGCAGAACGGCGCTGCTGAGCCCCCTGCCCTGACATCAATCAAAGCGAGTTTGAGTGTGTCTAAGCTCACCCATATGGTTTTTTTTTACGGTTTACGCAAAGTTTGTAAGGTATATTCTTGCATTGCTTTTACACGGGTGTCTCCATAAGCAGCTTTGAAGTTCAATGTTTTCGTTTTGTGCCGGTTCTTCTAGAAAGGTGTTGTAAGGTCCAGTCTCAGGGCTTCCCCTATACCTCGAAGCCCAGTCACCCATGTCGCGGGTTCCTGTTCTTTCGTGTGCAGCCCCATCCAAACATTGATGAATGCAGCACCCATGGGTTAGAGTCTGAAAGCCCTGTATAAACTTTTTTTTAAGTTGTACTCATGTGACGAGCCCTTAAACGCAGTCTAAGCACCCACATGCAGGGAACCGATTTCCTTAAACCCACATCCAACGAGCCTAAAGCCCTAGACCCTAATTAAGCGCTAAAGACTAATTACACCCCGAGGCCCTGAACCCTTCGACGCAATCAAACCCTAAAGCCCAAAACTTTAAAGCATAACTACGCCCTCACGCCCTCAACCGTAAAAGCCTAGTTGAACCCGAAACTCCTGAACTGCACGCTCAGTTCTACAGGAAATAATACTATCCCAAAAAGTGACAAATGCACCCACTCAGCTACGAAATTGATATCTTTGGCCGATATAGAGTCTATAACTCGCTAACTACACCTGAAGCAAGCCTTAAACAAGTGGCTTTTGGATGCTCACCTATGGTATAGACAGAGGCCTCCATAATTACCGAGACCATTATAATTATTGCAGAATGGGCCCCAAATCCCTGTTCTACTTATTCAGGCTCCTACATTAGTTGAGATGATGACCAGGTGCAGGCCTCGGATCTCTTGCGGCAGTGAATCCGCACTGGAAGGCCTTCTCCCGTCAAGGCCTCGACATCGCCTAAGAAGCCCCTGATTTTTGCAGCCCTGAAGCAATGGGCCTTTATGCTCGCTTCGGGTGTCTGAGGTAGCCCTTTGGAGATCAGTCATTGAAAGCTGCTAGTATGTGGAAAAACTCTCCCGAGCTTGCTAGTGCTCTAGTCTACAGACTAGTGCGATTCTGGAACTCTTGGGGAGCCCTAAACCGTAAACCGTAAACCCTAAACCTTAAACCCCTAACCCTAAACCTTAAACCCTAAACCCTAAACTCTAAACCCTAAACCCTAAACCCTAAACCTTAAACCCCAAACCCTAAACCCCAAACCGTAAACCCTTTCAGGATTTGGCTACCAGAACTCTGGGAGGCGTAGTGCGGCCTTCGGGCCTGCCTTCGGAGTTGAGCTGGGTAGTTGGAGGATCATGGGACTTAGTAAGGTTCCTTAAAGGGCTCCTTAAAGGGATCTATAGGGTTCCTTAAAGGGATCTATAGGGTTCAGGGATCAGGGTCAACTTGGGAGGATCATGGGACTTAGTTTGGTTATAAGTACCTTAATTGGGATTCTAAGTATACTTACCCTAGTTATCCCTAGTTATAACCCTAGTTACTAAGTCCCATGATCCTTTAAGTAGAGCCTTCTGGCTAGGTAGAACCGGGCTTGCGAGACTTTGCCCCGAGCCTGCAAACACGAGAGGTATGGGCTGGTACGGAATTAGGCGCCATGAACCCTTCCCAGAATTTCCCAGAATGAAAGCAAGCCAAAACCTGGAGCCATAACCGCGGAACCAGCAAAAGTGCAGCTGCACCTTGGCAATCTTCACCGTCTCCTGTGCACAAGAGAGCATGGGATGGCTGTAGCTCCTTCAACCACACGCTTCCGAATCCCCCTAGAGTACGAAACGAGAACAGGCAGAATTTGACCGAAAGACAGCCGAAACTCTCCAGTCTCTTCCGCCGTCCTCCGAACCGGCGCTCTCATCGTCGACGATGAGCATCCTCGGGAAGCTCCAAGACCGGGAACCATTTAACATAACTCTGGCAACTCTCGCCAGTCCTGAAAACTCCACTCGGGTCTCTTTGGGGGTCTCAGAACGCTTGTGATTCATGCTTGCTTGGAGGATCATGGGCCTTAGTAAGTAGGTTTCAAGTGGGGTTATAAGTCCCCTAAGTGTAAACCATCTCTCGGAAATTTGTATGTCAAGACTGAAACACACAAGCCTCATGCTAGGAGCCTGAAGGATTTGTGGTGTTGTCGGCCCGATTGAGAGTTCTGATCATATACATACTTATGAGGGGAACGCAGAAGGGGGCAACGGTCTGTCAGGCAAAGGTTGACCCTTCGACGAAGTTCGTTTTTTCAAAAACCCTTCGGCGAACTTCTGCGAACGTTTTGGGGGTTCGTGAGGGGTTCGTGGGTTGTTCGGTTACAAGATAAAGTTCTGATATGTTGTTAAAATTCCCAAGTATATTAAAAGCTTCAATAAGAATTTACGACACTACACCCCGGATAGTCTGTGAAGTTTATATGTCAGCGAGATGAAATGATGATGATTTGCCACGCCTTTTTCTCTGCATCTTGCAGGGATTTCCTGCGAATGTCTTTCCAAAAATACGGAGTTTCTTGCGTTACTCTGGCTCATTAGCAAAAATTCTTGCCAGGGCCCGACAGTCGTTCAGTGCAGGTCCAGGAAGTGCAGAATCCTGGCGGGCGGGAGTGTAAAATCACAAATGAGGTGCGTCAAAAGGCTTGTTGCTCTGGCAACCCGTTTTCTCTCTTGCGACTTCTGCGGCCAGTGACTAAGGCAGCGTTTTATCGCAAACGGCCCGGCAAGGCGGTTGATCGCCAAAACTTGCCAGGTTCAGCGGCCGAGGACTCGATTAAAATTTCTTGCCTTCAGAAACAGCGGCAGCGGAATTCGGCAGAGTCAGGCCGGGGCGCTCTTGAAATACTTCCCTGCTCTCTGACCTACAGTCTCGGAAGACTCAGAAGCAGGGGTAACCCGAGAACACAAAAGCATGTGACACCAACTTTCAGCGATGCATTTTTTATGTTAAAAATAATAATGCTTCTTCTGTGTTCTTGCCCCTGAAACAATCTCAGTCAAGCTTACTTTGGCGATCCTCGCCCTCCTGATGCTGGCGACTTGATCGAGCTGACGGGCGATCCGGCGAGGGTCTTCGGACTCTTGCTAGGCGACGACTTGGAATTGATCTTGCGCTTCGGCGTCCGCGGGGGAGTGTTCTTGCCGTTCCCAGCTGCCGGTTGAAGCGCAGTCTCCGATTTCGCCTGCCACGATTTCGTCTTCTTGCCATCACCAGAACCGGCTTCGGGGGAGGAACCCGTCGGGCACTCCTTCAGAAAGAACGGGCTCTCGGGCAAGGTCTTGCCCTCGTTGATGTCGGAATTCAGGATCTTGCACACCGAGATGTCCACCAACCCAGCACCTGACGGAATTGCTATGCAACGAACAACTGAGTTGGAAGAAGTGGTTTCAACATGTTCTGAATAGACGAGAGAACTAGAGAAGCGCGTGCTTAGATAACTTGATCTGAAAGATTCGCACATTGCAGCTGAGAAACTCAAGGATGTGTTGAAGTTTCTTGCGCACATGACCTTGATGTTGTCGATGTTCTGCATCTCCGGCGGAAGCTTAAACATCAAGTCGGTCTGCATGTACCGCAACTGACTCTTGCCGTCGTCCTGCTTCTCCAGCCTCCAGTAGCTGCAGGAGGGATCGTCACAGAACTCCTTGAGAACGCGGACTCTTGGGCTTGGGTGAATTTAAGGCCAACCGATCCGACAAACAAGGCAACGGTTAAACCGAATTCATTCAACTTGAATTTTCACTGACTTGGACTCACGACCCCAGCCGCATGTTGGGCCTAAGAGGCTGAGCAATGAACAGGCGGCGGAAAATCACGATGTTGCAGCAGGATGCCTTACTTAGGCGGTTAAACGAGTAGGTCCTGGAAGGTCGTCTCTGGCCCCCGTGGCTCCCAGGTTTCTAGCCGGCTGCCGTAGTCTGTGAAGCGCTTCATCATGAAGTCCTCAAGCGCGACCATGCTCTTGCTCGGCAACGCGCTGTTGACGTCGCAGTGAGTGATGAACCTACGGCGAGTGAGGTGTTTTGCACTTTTCTTGCTTCGGCAGAGGCAAAGAAGATTTGAATGAAAGATTGTTTTACATGTACTACTGATTCACAGCCAAGCTACGCGAGCAGGGTCGCCAGGAAAGCACGCTCTATCTTGCATCTGAAGTTCTTCTGCTGTTTGTCCAAGAACGACATCACTTTGGGAATCATCTTGCAAAGCAGCGGTCGCGTTTGCTCTTGCCCAAGCAATCGGAACTTGTTCATGTAGGGCTTCAGCTTCTGCTCCGACGAGTCGTCGTCGCCCACGATCTTGCCGGAGTCCAGCGAATCAAAGCTTCCCATACCTTTATGCCACGTGCGCTCTAAAGACAATGAATCACAGTCAGTCATTTCACTCAAGTTCAACTGAATTTAAAGAACCTAGCTCGCTAAAGCTTCACAGTACTATTTTTCTTTCCCAAACATACCCAAAAAAACGAAGAACTAAAATTCTCAGCGACTGAAGCCCCGATGGATGTGTTCCAGTGCTTTCGGCCGTAGGGCAAACCACGCATCGAGCTCCTGCCTCATCGTGACCAGTCTGTTCTCTTGCGCTTCAAGATTCGCTTTCTGCTCTTTGCGCAAGGCTTCCTCCGCCTTGTCCTCAGTTCACGAAGAAATATTCGGACATGTGATTAGCTTGATTGATGGGATCATATGTTTAAAGTTAAGGGGGGTCGGAAGGTTGAAGTGTAGACGCCTTGCTTGCAGACAAAACACTTTCAGCTTCTTCTCCTTCGAAAGCGCCTTCTCTTGCACTGCCTTGGTTTTTGACTGGATGCAGCTCTTCTTCGGGGCCATGGCTGCGCAAGCTCGGCCAGCAGGAAACAAAATTATCCAAGACTGAGATGCTTCAAGGCTTCTCTTACTTGCTATCGAGCCGGACATGTCACCGGCAGTGATGACGGCTGGGCCGGTGCAATTTCTCATCTCTCACAACCTCATCGCAGACAAACAGGCTTCCCTGCAGTGTCGTTTCTGAATCTGGCCGAAACAATCCAACAGGAGGCGGGCAGACCTTGCAAGCGACGTAGGTCTCTTGCAGGATAGACCGGTGGAACCGGCACCTGTTAGTGTCTGACTGTGTCTGATTGGATTGGTTTGGCTTACTATACATCAGAATGTGGAAACCAAGGACAATCGCAAAAGCTGCGAGCATCGATCCAGCGCAGGTGAGTTAATCATTTCAAGTATTGACTTGAATAAGCATCCGCACACCGTCTCTATGCTCGCAGATGCGTACAGGCGCAAGCGTGCATGTATGTTTACGTTTGCGTATGTGGGTGGGCGCTACTATACAACTTAATAGTTTATTAATAAATTGTGCGTGCATGCGGTTGTGACCGGTCGCACTCTGGGTTCGCGGCAGGAGGACTCTGGCCAGACCAGTGTAATCAGCAGGGCAGGAAACTCTCGCAGGAGTCTCCGCCTGCAAGCGTGGTGATATGCAAGACCCGGAAGCCTACCGTATTAAAAATTGTTATTATGAAATATGCATTCATTCGTTACTTCAAGACAGTCAGGAGTAGTAGTCGTCGTCGTAGTAGTAGCACTAGTACTAACTATTAAGTACTAGTAATAATAATAATCGTCGTTTACTAGCTAGTTTAGGGTTTGCATTTGTGCTGAATCTGGGCAGAGGAACTTACGGAAGGTCTGGCTACGAGGGTGCCACTCCTTTACTTCCAAAGACTCAGATTTGCAGATTTGAGCAAAGAAGGAGAATCTTAACTGAGTCTTACTGGCCTTGTTTCGGTTGCAACTTTCGAGTAAATTACATTATTACATTATTATGCCTGCAATTATTGCTTGGATGCATCTTGCGGATCTTATGGGTCTTGCGAGTGGGCGACTTAGGGGGGGAGTGCCCATACCCTAAACCCTAAACCCTAAACCGGAATTATTATTAAATTACTGAAACAGAGCTTCAAGATCAGTCCCAAAGACCCCGAAACCAAACTTGAAAGCCCGGGAAAGAAGCCCAGCCCCTGAACGAACTATTGTAAGTGCATTGTATTAATGATGTTTGCGCTCTTGCTTCTTACTTATGCTAATATTAATAGGGTTTAGGGTTCAGGGGTGTAGGATAAGAGAGAGAGAGAGAGAGAGAGAGAGAGAGAGACAGAGAGAGAGAAAGAGAGAGAGAGAGAGAGAGAGAGAGAGAGAGAGAGAGAGAGAGAGAGAGAAAGAGAGAGAGAGAGATCTCCGCCGGGTCGATGTCGATGTGGAGTCCGCCAGGACTGGGTGCAGCGATGAACGCCGCAGCCGAACACTCGGAATTGGTGTCGGCAGCTGCTAAGTAGACGAAGTTGTGGCTCGCAGCCCGGCCGCCAGCACCTCAGATTACAAGGATCCACGAACGGATCCATGGAGGCCTTCTGCCAAGGGCATCCTCCAGCGAGAGGCCAACCAGGTTCAATTTCAGGTTGAAGCCTCTGTGCCTGGGCGTCTTCTGGTAGCGGAAGTCAAACTTCCCGACCATGCGGTTGCACGTGCTCCAGTGCTTTCGGAGTAGGGCTAACTACGGTGTTCCCCTGGGCGGACAACCCTAGTATGTCTAGAGAAGAAAGGCCCGCCTAAGAAACCTTCCTCCGCCAAAGGGACCACCACTATTTTAAAGGTTTCTTAAAACAACACCCCCTACACTACACCCAATTCACCCAATGCCTTAGCCATTTAATTAGTTCGGAGGAGGCACGGTGGAGTCCTACACCGGGGATTCTATTTCAGGAGCCGGAAGGCGAAAACTGAAGCATCCCCAGGGTCGAAATGATACCCTCCGAATGTGAGTTCGGCCTCCTGAAGTGAAGAAACTGAAACATTAAATCAAGGCTTTCTGACAGGGCCCCATAATGCTTCGGCAAG